CATTATTGGGTCGTGCATTATCGTGGCTGTACATTATTGCCTCCCGATTTGTTTGTACACGGATTATTGGGCCGTGCATTATCGGGTCGTACATTATAGGGACCCAACGCTATCAGCGCCATCTGTAGATTGACAAGTTAATTTAGCGTAATGGTGGTGATTGTAGAGAATATTGATGAACTGCATTATTTTTATTTGTAGTGTTTAATTAAATAGTGTAAATCAAATTATATACTTTTGTGGCCGTGGCCATAACATGCTTTCTTATGTCGGGTTTACCTAAGACTCCTGTTTTGGTTGAGGAGGGTGGTAATCAGTGTAGAAAACGTTCACAAGTCAATAACGAACAGTCCAGCAAGAGAGCAAAATTAGACGAAATGAATGTCAATGAGAAGAAATCAAACTTCTCCTTGCTAACTCCAAACTCCAATGGCGCTATTAAGATGTCGGCGACCACGATTAAACCCGGAGTAGCAACAAAGAAACTGGTTATAAAAAATTTTAAAAGTGTGTTTACGAATTTTCCTATGCGTATAGTCATGACCTAACCTTAATGACATTTTATCAGTAAAAGTGCATATTTTTTTCTAGGCAAACCGAATCTTCCAGAAAATTACCAAGAGACAACATGGAGGAAGTTGCGGGAAGCCGTGATCGCCATTCAGACGTCGACGGCTATTGCATATTCCTTGGAAGAGCTGTATCAAGCTGTAGAAAATATGTGCAGTCATAAGGTTTGTGTAGACATCACGAAAATACGCAGATCATATCCAATTTGCTTTATTTTTATCAAGTTAATACATACCATGTTCTATCGGAACACAATTATAATGGTTTCACTGCACAGTAAACAAAATCATCATATAAACATTACAATTGCAGCTATGTTGACTTATGCATATTATTATACACTCTTTAATGTTAATACTGGTCTTGATTTTTATTTTAACTTTACAGATGGCATCGCAATTGTATGTCAGCTTAACAAACCTAGTTGAATCCCACGTAAAGGCCAACATAGAACAGTTCCTTTCCGAGAGTATGGATCGCCAGGTGTTCCTTAAGAGAATGGATGATTGCTGGAGAGCTCATTGCCGACAGATGATCATGATCCGCAGCATTTTCTTATATTTAGACAGAACTTATGTATTACAAAATCCTAGTATACATTCTATATGGTGAGTAAAAATTATACAGAATTATTTTTTAATAATATAGTGTTACCTATCGTGATACTGGCCACATTTATGTTATAAAAAAAAGGAGAAAACCTAATAAGAGTATAAATGCACTCAAATTGATTCCGCTGATTCTATTCATAAAAACACATTGCTACCAACTAACCGGCCAGTCAATTATATCAAAATATTTATGACTACATATTTAACATCCCATGTTTATTCTACTTTTTTTCTGATACTTTAAAAATATCCCTATTACTGCTTTAGTAAACAGGATGGTTTTCAAGGGTGTGCATATTGTATTGTAAACACCTTCTAGATAATGGTAAATAATAAACAGTACTGAGGTATATTCATTTATGTTATGCATTCTTTTAACCAATAAATAGGATGATAATAAAAGATTTAATAATAAGAATGAGGATGTTATTAGTATATCATCCTTTATCTATATTAATACCAATAATATAAAGAGGAAAGATTTGTATTTTTGTATGTATTTGATTCACACAAAAACTGGGCTGATTTTAAAAATTCAACAGTAGAAAGGTAATTTTTATGTAAGTAACATAGGCTATATTTTGTATTGTTTTTTAATTTCACGCAAGTGAAGTCGCGAGCAACAGCTAGTTACATATATTTGCCTCATATGGACAAATAGTAAAAACATGTACAAAAACACTTGAGATCTAGTATTAGTGTTAATGTTGCCTTTCCTAATGAATATATTAAGGTAATGAGTGCATAAGGCTCACACAATATGCAGAATCTGGAAAGAGTTTTTATTACAGTTAACTCTCAGACTAAATTCATGATGTTTATGCTAAAATAGACTTTTCACTTTATCAAAACCTGTACAAAAAAAATGGTTAATGAATGTATTTAATTACAACAGGGACATGGGTCTAGACTTGTTCCGGCACCATATAGCGATGAACACATTAGTGCAGACTCGTACCGTAGATGGCTTGCTGCTACTGATTGAGCGGGAGCGAGGTGGTGATTCTGTTGACATCTCTCTGCTCAAGAGTCTTCTGCGTATGCTCTCCGATCTGCAAATATACCAGGATGCCTTCGAACACAAGTAACATGCACAATTACTTTACAACCATTGAGTACTGCTCGATTCCTATATCTTTTTTTGTTATCAAACTATTTTTTACTTTAGATTAGTATTGCCTACAACTTTCAGATCGCTCGCACACTATTTTTAGACTATCGCACTGTGGAGTCGCGATTTGAATTCTATGAGCATATATGGAGGTGCGCCTACCCGAATTCTGAACATCGCACTGACTGACAATCGCACTATGGTTGTGCGATAGTTTAATCAAAGAACTGTGACATGTTGCCTATGTTTTTACATTTTCCATTTATGCTAGAGGATTACATAAAAAATGTTGTCTATAGAGTCGATCAACATGTTACAGGTTCCTGCAGGCTACGGAACGTCTGTACGCGGCGGAGGGCCAGCGGCTGATGCGCGAACTCTCCGTGGCGCAGTACCTCGCTCACGTCGAGAAGAGGCTGAAAGAAGAGAACGAGAGGCTGCTGCACTATTTAGACCCATCTACTAAGTCAGTACATTGTTTTCTATTGCATATCTGAATTCAGCTATATTTCTTTAAATATAATGTTGGTAAATGTGTGAATATTTAAGTTATATTACTATTTTTGTGGAAAAGAGGATTTATCTGATGTAGATTAACAAATTAAAAAAAATATTTGCAAACTTCCAGATGGCAACTGATCCATACAATAGAGCGGCAGTTGCTCAGCGAGCACCTCACGGGGATACTTACCAAAGGCCTGGAGGCTCTCATGGATGGCCCTCGGCTCTCTGATCTCACCATATTGTACAATCTCTTTAGCAAAGTTAAAGATGGACTTAACGAACTGTGCAATCATTTCAATGCTTATATCAAGGTAATTTTATTTCTTGTGTTTTTATATACAGAATGTTTAGTAGAAACGTTAATAAATATGCATACTAATGAACAGTTAGTTCACTTTTAATAGATGTATTGTTAACACAAGTTTGTGAAAAATCATACTTTATCTTCTTAGAAATAATATAAATGTAAGAGTTATTTTTTTTTTTATAAATAAACATAATCAGACTCTTGGTCCATATTTTTTTGCATGGTTTATATTTTTTTTCTTTTCTGTTTCATAATCCTTGTAATCCTGTGAAAGTTTAGATGTATGGATTTTAGAAGGTAACATCAGAAAGGAACAACGGATCTCAATGAAATTTGTCTTAGACATAGAACGTAGTCTTTAAGACCACATAATTATCTACTTACTTAGTTTTTATTTAACTCTGCGTAGACTAGTAGGGAAATTGACATTGTGTTTTTGTATAATTTCAGAAAAAAGGTCGTACGATAGTGATAGAGCCGGAGCGCGATAAGACGATGGTGTCGGAGCTGCTGGAGTTCAAGGAGCGGCTGGACCACGTGGTGGGCGCCTGCTTCCAGCGCAACTCCAAGTTCGTCTACTCCATGAGGGAGGCCTTCGAGTACTTCATCAATCAGCGACAGAATAAACCCGCTGAACTTATTGGTAACTAGCTGTTCGCGACTTTGTCCGCGTTAAATTAACTGTAGCCTATGTTACAGATAAATTTCCTTTCTGACGATGAAAGAATTTTTAAAATCAAAGTAGTTTTTGAGTTCTTTCAATACATAAAAAAAATCTTTCCTCTTTATAATATTAGTATGGATTATTTTTTTAACTGACATTCGAGAATAAGGTACCCAAGTCTGTTTTAAAGTGGACTAAAAGAATTTATAGTGCACAAACCAAATTATATTATGTAAAGTTTTTAGTTCTCTTTTGAAAATTGCTAAAGCTGTTAAAATATAAACGAACACACAGATGTTTATGAAAAGTTATCTTCTTATTTGTGTTATTGTTATTATTTAGTAAATAAGATTTGAATAAAGATGGTTTTAACAAATTGCCAAATTTTAATTTATTTACATTTCAATTTTTACATGTTTTACAAAATCTCACTTGACATGATTCTTTGTCATTTTTTTTTTCAGCCAAATTTGTCGACCTAAAGCTCCGGGCTGGTAATAAAGAAGCCACAGAGGAGGAATTGGAACGACTCCTTGATAAGATAATGGTATTATTCCGATTCATCCATGGCAAGGATGTGTTTGAAGCATTCTACAAGAAGGACTTGGCCAAAAGACTGCTGGTTGGCAAATCAGCTTCGGTGGACGCTGAGAAGTCAATGCTCAGCAAACTGAAGCAGGAGTGCGGAGGAGGCTTCACTTGCAAACTCGAAGGAATGTTTAAAGATATGGAGTTGTCTAAGGATATTAATATTACGTATAAACAGGTATGTTCCTCTATTATTTACAATGTTGTCGGCGAGGGGGAGGGGAGGAAGAAATCTACAGAATCTAAAATAACTACTTTGAAATAATGAAATGCATATTGTTTCTATAGGTATATTTATATATGCATAAATATCTCAAAATCTATTTCACATATTTTTATAAAAAAAATTGACATGTAGATAAACATTTCCTTTGAAATAAAAAAGAATTTTAGTACTAATCTATCTTTAAACTCCAAATTCTATTAAAATTTTGTCATATAACAGATTATAAACACTTACAGGACAAAGTGCTTAGGATACCCCCATTTTATTTGTACTATTTGATAAGAAAAACAATAAAGAATATGAAATATATTGATGACACCGTGCTATTTCAGTATAGAAAAAGCAAATACCTTAAAATAGTCTAAATCCCGTTGCTTGCAGCACCTGGCGGCGAGCCAGGAGGGCGCGGGGCTGGAGCTGTCGGTGTACATCCTGACGATGGGGTTCTGGCCGACGTACCCGGCGGGCGAGGTGCGGCTGCCGGGCGAGCTGACGCGCCACCAGGACCACTTCGCCAAGTTCTACCTCGCCAAGCACTCCGGCCGCAAGCTGCAGTGGCAGGCCACGCTCGGCCACTGCGTGCTGCGGGCGCACTTCGCACAGGTATGCACTTTATATTTAGTTAAATAACTAGCTTGTCCCGTGCCCCTTTATTTTATTATTTACATTTATCAAATTCTCAATTGCAAATGTCAAAATTACCGTTACAATAATAATTGTGCTTTTTTAATGTTAGCAGCTTGTATAATTCTATTCCAATTTATTTACCCTCTAAGTTTAATAGCATGAGGGTATATAGCCGACCCCCCAAATCAACGTCAGTTGCGCATTACCCCCCGTCCCCTTCTCTGCGGGTCAAGTCTACAAGATGTTTGAACCTCAATAACAATTTTTCGCAACTTAAAGTACTTAATGCTTAAGTTGGCACGTCATGCAGTACATAACTCTTGTTCCCAGTGTGCCATATCACTTAATACATAAATTGTGTTAACAATGTGCTTATGAAAGAAATACATTTTTATGCAAACTTGTGTAAGATGTTGCATATTGTAATCATAACTGTATGTTTTCAGGGTAATAAAGAATTACAGGTATCCCTATTCCAAGCTCTCGTTCTGCTGCTCTTCAACGACGGCGACAATCTCTCATTTGAAGATATTAAAACAACTACTAACATTGAGGTAAATTATCAAATTCTGATTTTTAGAATGATGTAAGTTGTAAACTAGGCTAGTGATATTGTTAGTTCAAAAATCTATCAGCGGCTTTATGATTCTTGTTTAACAGCGGTAGTGTCCGCTTTCACATGTTAGCACTGCAGGGCACGCCCCCAGTAATACCACGACCACACAGAAGACAGGCGTGAAATGGAAGCAAATCCGTGTTTCGTCTGATGAGTGAGGCGCCGGAGGCTTTATTTAAATCCCTTTCTCTTTGCCACCCTTTTCTTATAAGGAGACGTTGGGAAGGGGAAGTGGATTTGACGGTGCAAAAGACGCATAAGAAGGGGAAATTTCCTCTTTTGTGCGTCTCCTCCTCCTTCCACTAAGGGTAGGCAACGCATCTGCGAGTGCGGATGTTTACGGGCAGCGGTCGCTTTCCATTTCGCTGGATTCAGGTGGCCGCTTGCTCGATTGCCACTTTATATTATAATAAAAAAAACATAAACCTACCTTCTGCCTCCAGAGGGCAGGGTATCTTTGGAAGTTTCCCCCTCTGATACTAAAAAAAGGTATACGTTGTGTAGGAGGGCGAGCTGCGGCGCACGCTGCAGTCGCTGGCGTGCGGCAAGGCGCGCGTGCTGAGCAAGGCGCCGCGCGGCCGCGACGTGCGCGACAAGGACCACTTCGCCTTCAACAACGACTTCACCAACAAGCTCTTCCGCATCAAGATCAACCAGATACAGATGAAGGAAACTGTCAGTAACAACACACGAGTTATATCTTTAACTAGCTGTTCCCCTGCGGCTTCATCCGCATGATATTACAAAAACCTTATTTTATTGTTCACATTTGTCAAATTCTCTATTGCAAATGTCAAAATACCAATTACCTTACTATGGCAATTTAGCTTCCTTGGTGTTGGCAGCAACTTTTGGTCTCTTTCCCACATTAGTGATTTTATCCAAAATATTTACCCCCTAAGTTTAATGGCGTGATAATATATAGCCTAAAGCATGGCGTAAGTGTAGGGCTTTATATTAAAAAAGGGATTATTCAAAAATATGTTGTAATTGCTGACATCTTAGGCAACAAAGAAGTATGTGTTTTATAATAGTATAGATAGGCTAAAGTGCTTCGTTGTTTGCAGAGGATATGAAATGCCTCTAAAATTGTTTTACACCTTCGTAAGACACAAAATTAAAATAGTATTTATAGGGAAATATGAAATATATACGTAGATAATAGTATTAGGTACATATTTTTTTTAATATTTCAAAATAAATGAGGTGTGTAAAGTACGGTAAGATATTCAATTACCCCGTTACCGGGTTTTGGCGTAAATAGTAAACAATAAATAATTACAAAATAATTCTGTTTTAGCCATGTCCCCTTATTATGACCATGCGTTATCTTTAAATTTAACTTTCTGTTATGTTTATTTAGCAATATATTTTTTCTTTCTACATAATAGCAAAATGACCAATTCTAAAGTGCAATATAATTTCCAGAGCGAGGAGCAGAAGGCGACAGAGGAGCGCGTGTTCCAGGACCGGCAGTACCAGATAGACGCGGCCATCGTGCGCGTCATGAAGATGCGCAAGGCGCTATCGCACAACCTCCTTATCTCAGAGCTCTACAACCAGCTCAAGTTCCCCGTCAAGGTACATAAGACAGAACCTCATAATCTCATCACTAAAAGGCTCGCCAATCCTAAGTTAGAGGTTACTAGGCTAGGTAATGGTAGCTAACTGCGGGTTGACTTCACACATCTTTGAATGTTTTAATACATATTTGCAGATATCACGTTTTTCTTTACCGTAAGAATGTCGGTTTATGTACAGTTGGAGACATCCCTGGTGTTCCACTTCTGAAAAAAAAATGTCTACTTCATTGCAATGAGACACACTCAGTCTCTTACAAGAAACTAACTAGATAGCAGTGAGTGGTGAAAAGGCATAATAATATAAAATCTAGCCGTGTATCACTAACCGACTTTTTTTCAAAATGTTCAAACGATTGTAGCTTTTAAGTTGAAACACTGCCAGTTTCCCCGACTGTAATGAAATGCAGAAATTGTAAAATATTGGTACATAGCAGGATTCGAACCTACGGCTTATAGAAGTTAAGTGCGTAACCGCTGAGCCATCGTCTCTCTGCTCAGATATTATTATGGACACTATATGTAATAATAAAATTGAAATATCGGATTTCCTAATTATTGTATTTTGTCCTCAGCCTGCTGACCTCAAAAAGCGCATAGAGTCGCTCATTGATAGAGACTACATGGAACGTGACAAGGATAACCCCAACCAGTATAACTACGTGGCGTAAAGCACCCCGCACCCCCCGCGGCACCCCCCGGACACCCCCCACGGGAGACATCGCACTGGAGTAAATGTGACGCAAACTATGTATCAGTGAATATTAAAAAAAATGATTTAAAAAAAAATTGTCATTGTAGATAGCTTCACGTACAGCGGACCCGCTTTATAAATATGGATAAACACGCTAGGAAATAACGTGTGATATTAGCCAATTGATGACCCTCTGTGAAACTTCTATATTGAGTCATAAAGCAATAAATGTTTTGATTAAAGTTAGATTGTTTTCACTTGTGTTAGTTAAATGTTTCAAAACTAATTTATATACTTTGACAATGTTTTATGCATTTTATTATCAATTTGATGATGACGCAGTTATTTTTAATTCATAAAATTGATACCTCAAATTCATTTTGACAATCATAATAGAAACGATATAAATATTTGTTACGGTATTTACTACTAAATCGAATAAAAACTATTAAAAACCTCGTCTAATAAAACGGGTTTTGCAAAGATTTTGTTTGCATACAGTCATAGGTTTGAATTACGATTAAATTTGATGAGCTGTAGATCAGTGAATCAGCTCACGGATCAATTCAATTTGTACCTCTATGGTTTGCGTGAGTTAGTCGCCAGGCGAGCGGCTCAGCTGCCAGTTAAAATACGCATTGAGCCGTGAGCTGGTGAGTGAATGAGAAGTGAGTTTAAGATCAGAGCTGTTTTAGACATGCCTAAAAGTAGTTAGGGAAATTTCCTAGCTCTTCTTAAGCATATATTAGATTTTTTTATTATCTGAAGATGTGATTTTTATGTATTGTTTTCCTTCATATGACATCACTACGTAGATAAGGGCCCGGCCACGCCCCACGTCAGCCAATACAATTTATTGCATATCGGAGTAAATCCATAAGATGCCAAACTTATTTATTAGTAAAGATAAGGTTTCACTGATGTTTTGTTACAATGTGCTGTTTATGAAGGTAAGATATTCAGTTCCAGAGGGATCACCAATTAAAACTATTTATAATTTTAAATGTTGTTTTATTTGATTGCAACAATTTTTATTTCTATAATACTCAACATCACAATATTTAAAAATGTTTAAAAATTAATATTAACATCTGAAACAAATTATTTAACTTTGATTATTTTAAGAATCTCGGTTTCCATTACCAGGAATTAAGAATTCTTCGTCCGAAGTTAGTTCAATATTTAGGTGGTTTTATACTTTCCATCAAAAAGTAAAGTTAATTAATATATTATTATGCTTTTATTACTTTGCTCGAAAGTCTTGTTGAACACGTCAGGACTACACTAGTGAGAGTTTAAAAACATTTCAATGTTAAAAAAAAATTAAATTTTTAAATCTAGTCTAAAACGAGACTCGTATGAAAACTGTACAATGAATACAAGACAAAATCTTAAAATCCATCTATATACATGATGATATATTCTATTCCATGAGTTTTCTTTGGAGATCATTTATTTTTCCGATATTCTGATGACCCTGTCCAAGTTGTCTTTGTGGTGGTCCAGTTCGTCTGTCAGTGCGTTGGCGAGCGCTCGCGGTGTTATCTCCATACCCAAGTAGTCTTGTAGAAGTTTCTAAATCAAAAAGTGTTTATTACAAGTTAAGTATACTGCCTCATTCCGAATTATTAATAGTACCTAAAGAACCTTAGTGTAGATTTTTCTAAACCTCTAAGTATGGCAGATATAATTTTTATATTATTTAACCATTAGTCAAGAAAAAGTTTTTTAAAGTAAACTACAGACAATTTTTGGGTAAGTGGCTGCTGTAGATTTCGAAAAAAAAAATCATTTTGTAAAGAGAAGGGATTTTTTCCAGACGTCGGTACTGATTAAGAGTTGCCGATAAAGTAATATTACGGTAATGTGAAGTGGGTTCAAAGTTCCACAACAGTTTATTATGTACCCGTGGAGGCTTAGCGCCGCCGTGTCTCAGCACTCCGTGTCGGAACGCATGTCCGGCGTCGCTGCAGAGCGGGCGCGGAGAGAACTGCGTGCTCCAGGCGCCCCACGCCGCCGCGCGAGATATCAGGTACGAGTAGTACTTCGCCCCGTACCCCACCAGGTGGCTGAAGCGGTGCTGCCATGCCTGCGATGATACACATAATATTATACAGCGAAAATGGATGGATGTTAGAGTTTGTAGCCTAAAGTGCTGAACGGATCTGGATGAAATTCGGCATAGTTGTAGAGGATAGTCTAAAAGAACACATAAGGTTACTTTCTTTGGTTTTTATTAATACAATGCAGGTGGAGTCACAGATGGAAGTTAGTAACACATATTGTTTCTATTTTATACTTGTAAAAGGTATTGATAACAGCGCCCTCTTTCGATAACAAAGTGGATCATTTGAAACACCGCCATCTTTCGGCGACCTTCGTGAAATAATTAACTTAGAATAGCGACCTCTTTCGGCGACAAATATACATAAACTACTACAAATTAATTGCATTTTTTTTTAAATGCAAATAGCGCTACTTACCGTGTTCTCAACATAAGGCAGGCCGTAGTACTGTTTCTGCACTTGTTTGAGGACGTCCGTGGTGTCGCGCCCCAGCGCCGCCTCCGGCCCGTGGTACTGCTGGTCCAGTGCTGAATAGAACACCTGAAATATCACATTTATAGTGACTTATATGTTCCAATGTGACTTCATCCGCATGTCACTATAAAAACTTTATTTTATTGTTTAAAATAAATGTTTCAATGACAACAAAGGCCTTTATCATTGGCTAACAATACCAATCCTGCTTTTTATGCTGTTATTGGCTTGTAATGTTTGTCTCAAATTCTCGAAATCGTCAAAGCACACCAGTATTATAATAAATAAAAACCATCCTTTTTATTATTTTTGTAAATATATTAGTGTAAATGTGTATACCTGCAGCTGCATCTCGCTGGCTCCGAAGAGATGTTTGGAGGCGCAGAGTCTCTGCAGCATGTCCTCGGGCATCGGCTCCCGCGTCTGGAAGTGACGCGCGAAACGACGCACCACCTGCACACAACACACACAAATTATATATGAAAATAAATTAACATGATTTTAGCTCCAGATTGTGTCGATGTCGATCCAATCACATTGGACTGATTATTGACACATTTAGTGATGGGTAATTCTATAAATTATAACACGGCTAAACTCACGTGATAACATTCGGTGTAGGCACCGACAGTTTGACAGACCCCCCGCGCCCCCCGCCCTGTCGAAACGCGCGATGCGGGCGAGGGCACGCAGTGACCGTCGCGACGCGATAGCGAGTATAACCGATTAATCACTCACCCTGAAGGACCCCCAACGGGTTCGAAACTGTCGGTGCCTACACCGAATGTTATCGCGTGAGTTTAGCCGTGTTATAATTTATATAGTATAATGTCTCACGAAAGTTTTAATAACTTAATGGGTAACTCTATTAAAATTGAGCTGCAGATCACGGCTCATTTCTATCGGTGAAACGGCTTACAGCTGCATTTCTATGCAGGAACACGTTGAACTAAGCTGTGAGCCAAATCATTTTACGTGTAAAATTATAATTTACGTGAGTAACAAATCACTGGACAGATTAGAACTAAATCATTAGTTTGTCTTAGCTCAACATATCAAAATTATGTCTGCTTAGAGCTGATTTAACACGTTTCTAGTCTACAAGTGTTGGTTACCTGCGGAATTCAGCTGAGCTGCTGAGCTGCGGCTCAACAAGTGATTAGTGACGTGTCCAGGTTTCAGATATTGTTACCTGCGGCTCGGCGGCGAAGTGCTCCAGCAGCACGCTGGGCAGCTCGGCGAGGTCGGTGGCGCAGCGCGTGCCGGCCACGTGCTGGTGCGGCGCGCGGCCCAGCATGGAGTGCAGCGCGTGCCCCGCCTCGTGGAACAGGTTGTCGACGGCGCCCGCGCCCAGCAGCGCCGGCCCGCAGCGGTGCCCGCCGCTCAGCGACAACATTATCACCACTATCGGGTTCTGAACACACCAATACACTTTTCAAATATATACGAACACAATTTAATATTATAAATGCGAAAGTTTTGATATATATTTGTTAGAGTTTACTAAAGCACTGAACTCGATGAAATTTGGAACAAATGTAGAACTTAATCTGGAAGGACACATAGGCTTCCTGCTTACAAATTTCTTAAAATTCCGCATCGACGAAGTCGCAGACGAAAGCTAGTTTAATTGTGTCGTCGCTTTCCTATAGAATTAGCGCACTTATCCTATTCTTTGACATTGACAGATGTCATAGGGCAGGGACGTTATGCCAATGATTGAATGTTGCACCGCTACTCCGGAACGGAGCAGATATCTTAGCACTATGTGGTAGTAGCCCACCACTACCCATAGCCCCACTGACCCTCAAGGCGCACAGTTCTGCCGATTTCAGCTCCGTACCTAGTCAAGGTATCTGTTATTACAGTGGAGGTTACCTGGTAGGTGCCGTCGGGCAGCATCTTGCCGCCCTGTATGGTGAAGTGGCTGTCCTGGTGCGGCTTGCCGGGCCGCTCGTACAGGTCGCAGTACACGTGGCCCAGCAGCCCCTCCCGCGCGTGCTCCACCGCCAGCTTGTACACGTCGGGGGACCACGACTCGCCTGCACACCACAAACATTCTGGACATGCTAGCTTTCGCCCGACACCCACGTTAAATTAAAAAAAAAATAGCCTCTGTCTTCTTCTAGATTATATTCTACATCTATGCCAAATTTCCTTTAGATCCGTTAATTGTTCTAAAAATATGTAGTAAAAACCATCCATTCATACAAATTTTCGCATTTATGTTAGTAACATTGGTCCGAAGCGTATTTACATCCTTCATATCTTACTTCATACTAATCTTACTAACATAATCAATGCACAATGGATGGATGTTTGTTAGAGTTTGTACATAATATAGGCTGTTGCTGCGATTTAAGAAACATATATCCATCCATTCCATCCACAGAGTATTAAAAAAAATCTATATAACTGAGATTTAAATTTTGTAAAATAATGCTTAAATTTATGTGACCACAACGAGAGTCACAGTCAAATATTGAAACTACATTTAAATACGTAACAATAAATTCTATTATAATTTTGACATCTGTTAGATTGTAAACTACATGAAGAGTTTAAGATTTTCATTATCTACACAGACAGACCTAACCAAGTATTATTAAAAATTGTATGAATTACTCACCGGGCAACATTTCTTCCGGCTTCAAAGTAATCCCATACAATTCTTGACAGAGCATATTCAGACCTTCCATACAAGCTCCCAAAGAGAAATACGGACTGAAATCTGAGTTGGCAACATTTAGAAGTTGTGTTTTCGCCTTATGCGTGTAGTACGGCGTGTCCCAACACATCACACTATCTTGGTACGGAGTTTCCTGTTTTTTCATCTTCAACATTGTATCAAAGTCCATCTTAGCTCTGTCGTGCAAGTTATCTGAGAGTATGTCGAGGAATTCTCGAACATTCGACGAGTTTTCCATTACACTCGCTTTAATTGCTCTGGAAAAAATTTATTATAATGCTTATCTATACTTCTATACTAATATTATAAAGAGGAAAGATTTGTTTTTTTGTATATATTGAAACAATTCAAAAACTAGCCAGATTAAAAAAAAATCTTTCACCAATAAGGTTATGTTTTCAGTCAGTAACATAGGTTGTATTTTTTATTGTGTTTTTTAATTTATAAATTTACGTGGAAGAAGTCGTGAGCAACAGTTACTTTGACTTAATTTGGAGTTTAGGCGTAGTTTATTATTTAAGACGTATTTAAATGTTAATATACGGTAAAGGCTAGCCTAAACAGTCTACGTATATATTATGCAAAATTGTTTTTGTACTGTACTTTCATTTTGTATAAACCCATCAGAATATAATAAATACCTGTCAGCATAGCTGTGGAAGCCGCACAAGGTTGCCATCTCGTGGCGAGCGGCCAGCGCGGCGGCCAGCAGGCGGGCCTGCGCGGGCTCCGGCGCCAGGTACAGGCGGTAGGCCGCCTCGCGCGCCGCCGCCTCGCCGCACTCCGCGTACACCCCGCTCACTATCACGTGCTCGCCCTCGCTGCTGAAACTACACACACAGAAAAAACATTACTTCTACTCATTTAAAAGTACAGTCGCCAGCTAGTCATTACATACAGACACATCTAATGCCAGATGTAAACCAAGTTTTTCATTATGCAAGGCCATTAAAATCGTCAATTTATGGATAAGACATTCAAATAACAAACACAAGTCAATTTATCATATACTTTTAAAAGAAATAAAATATAATAATAACTTACAACTGCCTGACATTCTGCGGTACAGCAGATCTCGGTACACGTCGTGGTTTCGCAGCTCCGGCCATGAAGCGCTGCCCCGTCTGCAGTATAAGGTCATTGAGGGCCACCACTCGCTTGCGAGGCTCATCTTCCAGTTGTATGCCGCTCTGCTCAAAGTCAAATAGGAATAGCTCCGCTAAATGTTGGTCACCGGACGTCCCCCGTTTCACTGAATCACGTAACGCTTCGTATAAACCTTTATGTGTGTTTAATCTGGAAATAGTGTGTAAAAATTCAAATTATGTTCCTAATAATTGAGAAACAAATCATGTATATATGTAGAATATTATAAAACACTAACTATTGCTCGTGACTTTGTTCGCATGAAATTAAAATATATTAAAAAGTATAGCTTTTGTTACTGATAACATAGCTCTTTATTGGTGAAAGAATTTTTCAAAGCTGCTCAGTTTTTGAGTTATCTCAACACATAGATAAATACAAATCTTTCCTCTTAATAATATTAGTATATCAGTTTAGATCATTTCAACTTCAATTTAATTGTTTAAAAAGTTATTAAAATATTATTTTCTCTGGCAATATTTTCCTTATTTACTGTCAGATTGTAAGAATCACTCTCGAAGCGCAGTATATAATATTCAGTTCGTTATTGATTCAGTTTTTTTCAGTTGAAATCAAGGTTGTGTAAATTATAAATTAAACACTTACTTTTCCACAACACCACTGATACTTATACAAGCATCTTCAGCAGCACTTGCGAAATGCGGCTGCGGATGAGCAATCCTCACAAACTCCGCTAAATCTGCCACTTTACATAATGTATCGGATAGCTCATCAAATACTTCCACCATAGGTCTTGAGGGACCAGATATAGCTTCCTCTATCAATCTGTCCGTTGCTGCAATAGCCTGATCCCTTAATGTGTAGAAACCTTCGAAACTGGTCAGTTCCGGTTTGTTAAAAAGTCCCTGAAGATGCAAAGTAGTAGTTTTTATACATTTTTATTATAAGAGGAAAAAATTGTTAATACAAAGTTGTATGTAATGAATAAACTCAAATAGTGATTTGGGCTGATTAAAAAAACATTATTCATCTATTATACTTTATCAGCCTTCTAAATAAATCTTACTTCTTGCTAATATTATAAATGCGAAAGTTTAGATGGATGGATGGATGGATGGATGCATGGATGGATGGATGGATGGATGGATGGATGGATGGATGGATGGATGGATGGATGGATGGATAGATGGATGGATGGATGGATGTTTGTTAGCATTTGTAGCCTAAACGGCTGAACGGATCTCTATGAAATTTGGCATAGGTTTAGAGCATAGTCTGGAAGAACACATAGGCTACTTTTTATCCCGGGAATAGTTTTACTGTTTGTTTACTCGATCATTCTGCAACTGATTAACATAACTTATTGAAATTTGGCACAAATATAAAACAAAGTATGGAGTACACATGGGATAAGCTTCATCCCCGAGAAATGTCCGGTTCCCGAGGGATACGTAACTTTTTGTAATTTATATAGTTTGTATTTTTTCTAATACTACGCGGACGAAGTCGCGGGCAACAGCTTGTGTGGTATAAAGTTAAACTTAGGAATAAGTCGATAAATAAATATTAGTACAAATTTTATCAATTAGCTTCTATAAGTAAAATACAACTTACTGTTCTCTCCCTTAATGTGTCAAAGACAGGCCTAGAGTTGGGTCGTGTGTTGAAGGCAGTAGCCAATGGTGTCCAGGTGCTGACCCCTCGTGATACCCTACGTCTCCGGCCATGACGCAGCACTGATATTGGCCTAAACAACTTCATGGCAACATGTGTAAATCTAAAAGACAACAATCAATGGTTACCAAATGCTACAAACCATTTAACAATATCCTTTGATATGTTAGCCAGATACTTTGATTAGAATGAGTTTTAAATATAATGAAATAGAGATTTAAATATTTATAATTCCTTTCACTTTTCACATCAAGTAACAGCACTTTTATTCAAGTACCTTCTCTATGAAAATCAATATTATTTTTAATTATTTCATTAAGTTTAGATCATATATCTTAAAAGTGATATCGTCAATTGTTTAATCTAAATTCCTTGCTATAAAAAAAAAATCTGTAACTATATAAGAGCTTCAATCTAAATAAGGTTAAATTCAACTTACCTAGTTATATTGTCGATTCGCTTTATTCTGGGTAAAAGCGAAGGTTAGATCGGTCACAATAACAACGATTAAAGTTTTTTCATATAAATATTGTCTAAAGTTCCTGCTTTCGCTTTTCAGTGATTTTTTATGACAGATTGCAGGATTCTTTGATAAGATTGCGAGATATTTTTATCTCGCAAATGTCATCTTTGACTGATATTTTGTATCACTCTTTCTGTATCTTTGTAATTTTCAGTTCTGTAAGAGAATAAAATAAGTACCTTAAACTTGTTTATCTTATTATCTCATAAATAAAAATCTAAAAAAAGAGTATCTTTACTGAAAACTAGTTTCGTTTGCTGGCTGAGTTATTTTAAAACTTTTGGATATGTCACAATTTAAAAAGGTAAAAGTCAAAGCGAACTGTCAAGAACATGCCTAAATGTCAAAATAATTGCGACGGAAAAGGACGCAAATGTTTATAATTTAAATAATATTATAAAATGAAAGCTATGAATAATAAAATGTTGGATTACATTTTGTAGTAAATTGTAGAAAATTTTTAGTTTCGTTCCTATTCAATGAAATTACCGGGCACGTTTTATAACAATGGTTAGAATTGATAATTCAAGAGTTATGTTTCATTTGTGAGCAACAGTAATTATTTCTTTGGTTATCCAGTCCACCCCTCTGCCACCGCAACAACAACGTCGTTCCGCTGGAGAGAATAAAAAGTGCACACCACCATCCAATATACTTACGAGAAACGGTGCACGAAAAGCCAAAATACAAACAAGAGCTATGTCTGCAGGTGCAAAGGTAATAATTTTTGACAATCCTCAATACAAATGTACATATAATTTTAAATAATAAGATAAAAACAATGGTATGCGTAAATAGAAATATATTATTGTTTACATAAGATAACATTACTTTAAACAGTCGCATAGGTTTATCACATTTATCAGTATTATAAAGATAATTTAAACACAATAAAAGTGATTTTATATTCATATTGCAGCCATCTGCGGTAGTTGTTACTGCAAAAAGGAAGAATTTTAAGAAGAAACAAGTTATTGATTCACTGGTAAAGGACTTTTACCAAATTGTGAGTTTAAATTATTTTATTCTACATTATTTTAAAATTACAAACTTAGAAATATTGTTTAATTAATTTCATATTATACTTTCAAACTCAGTCTAATAATAAAAATGTGAAAGTTTAGTTTAAGTGGAGATAGATGGATGGATGGATCTTTGTTGGAGTTTGTAGCCTAAACGGCTGAACGGATTTCTATGAAATTTGGCATAGACATAGAGGATAGTCTTGAAGAACACATATGCTACTCAGTTTTACTTATTTCCATGCGGACGGAGTTGCGGGCTAAAGCTAGTTACTCATAAAACTACAAAATTTCATTGTAATTAATGATTTTGTTAAAACTTTATTTTTGATTGTTTTAATCATTAAACAGGCTATGGATTCCAAAGCGATAGTCAAAGGTCCAACAGGGCTTGTAACAGAGCCTCGTATGGCAGAGCACAGGTGTCTCTGGGACGACAATTATCCAGAATGTCCTGAAAGGTTGATTGGAGTTTTGGAAAGGTAAGTTTCTACCAAATTTAATTCTTAAATGTAAGGGTTTAGGCACTTCTGCATCATTTGAGTCGACCCATGATCATGGTGCATCCAACTGTGCCAAAATATCCGAAACTTGTTTTTATGCAATACGGTGGCAAAGCAGCAAGCGGCCACCTCAATCCGTTAATGTGGCGAAGCAACCGCTGCCTATAGACGTCATCAATTGCAGATTCATTGCCTACCTTAAATCAACAGAGGAGAAGACACACATAAAGAGGATATTTCTCCTTCCTATGTGTTTCCTCCACCAATAAATCCACTTTCTCATCCAATCCTTTCCATATAAGAAAAGGGTGAAACGGGAAAGTGACTAAAATTAGGCCTCCAACTAAAACAACCCGATCATAGTAACCCATATCCTACAAACAATATACTCTTTTTTTATTTAAATGTAACATATACAAAACAGATACTTAACAGAATCTTATTAAATTAAAATTGTTCCTTGCAGATGTCGTGAGTTGAATTTAATACAACAATGTAAGCAGTACCAACCAAGAGCGGCGACTAAAGAAGAATTGCTCACTCTACACTCACCTTCTGTCTATGATACTCTGAAGGCTACACATAAAAACGACAATATTGAATATTTGGAAGAAGTATCATCTAAATATGACGCGATTTATATACACCCTGTAAGTATTTACATATTTATTTACATTACATAAATAAAATCTTAATAATATAGATAAATGCTTTATGTGTTGGACTTGAAACATTTTATATACACATACTGTTTATGTATGGTAATTTCACCACCTTTTTTATAATATAAGGTGGCAAATGAGTAAGCGGCCACCTGAAACCACCGTAAAGGAAAGCGACTGCTGCCTATAAACATTGGCAATTGCAGATGCATTACCTACCTTTAGTGCATGGAGGCGGAGATGCACATAAAGAGGACATTTCTCCTTCCACTTTTCCTTCCCCTCCTTTCCACTTAAGAAAAGGGTGGAAAGTGAAAGGGACTAAAGTCAGGCCTGTTATTGTCCCTAGGAGGGTTGTCTATATGTCTATAATCTGTCCTATCTAAAATCATTCCCTTTTTCCATCCATCCTTCCTTCCATATCCCCTTACCTTTGTAGTCATCTATATTGAGTCTTAATATAATCTTAATGTTGTCATCATTTCCCATAATGTTCATATTCATATACCAGGATGTTAAATGGAGATATATTTGGTTTTAATAAAGAATTCTGTCCATTTTCCTGTTTGTAGTAAAGGCAGGTTTTTGAGAAATTATCATATGTTATCTTGGCACATATCTTCATAATATTATCAACATAATCTGTCAACATAACAATATTTAAGGGGAATTCCATGTATTGTTTTGAGTCTGGTATTTTTTAGTAACATAGTTATCAACAAAATATTTATCTAATCACTTTCGTTTGCTTATGTCAAAATATGATAATCAAATCAAGGTATTAAGCTATTATTTTAAGCTACATAACTGAAAACTTCGGCTTTTTCATTAAATAGGTCAGGACAAAAACAATAAAAACGAACAAATGGGATACCACTCAACCTTTTAATAATAACGAAGTAACGGCTAGTGCCAAGGCTCTTGAAGGAGCCCTCGAGCTTATTTACTCATAGACGAGGTTTAGGCTAAGCGCCATGTGCTCGGCCACCTCAAGCCCGGTGAATCTGTAAATGCCTCTTCAAGGCAAACAGTGACCATTCAGTCACAAAAAAAATCAACCTTTTAACTGACTTCTCAAAGTTCTCTTCTTTTATATTTGTGTTTTGATTACGCTGCGATTTATAATTCGATTTATGCGTTTTTTTTATGGGAAAAGTTTACATTTGGTCTCAATTTTCTCAAAATTGAAAACTAACCAGTAGTTTTTCCTAAAAAAAAGTGTACTACAAATTGTAAATTTTTGTCCTGAAGTCCATTTCTATTTCTTTTATTGAAGCAAAGATATGTAAACTTTTAGAGTACCCACGAGTTGGCTTTGCTCGCCGCGGGCTCTACCATCGACATGGTAGACCGCATTATAACCGGTGAGGTGCAAAACGGCGCGGCGCTGGTGCGGCCGCCCGGACACCACGCCATGCGCGCGGAGCCATGCGGATACTGCTTTTATAACAACGTCGCACTCGCAGCTAAACATGCCATTGATAATAGAGGACTTAGTAGGTAAGTGCCATACACGGACTGCAAGATACCTGAATATAGCTTCGCGTCTGGTAGGTAGCATTTTCTAGTGTTGATTACCCAATGATGACCTAAAGCTGTCTATACTGATAAACCTATCTTTTTGAGCCAATATTTTTTTTTATCTATCTATATATATAAATTAAAGGATCTGTATTTAATATTTAAAAAAAATCAAATTTCGTAATGTATTTGCGTTGCTGGAAACGAAAACCAACTTCTAAAATTTTGTTCCGGGCAAGGGCGAATCCAAGGGGAGGATCACGAGGGTCATGAACCCCCCACCCCCAAACTGGTTGGTCAAGAACTTGACAAACTTGACCACGACTATGTAACCCCCCCCCCCTGGCGCCAAAGCAGGATCCGCCCTTGGTTCCGGATAATATCTCCGTAATGGCTGGATCAATTTTCATGAGACTGCAAGAATATAACTCATGCACGATGTAGTGGGTGACGGCTAGTTTGAATAAAAGAAAAGTAACGTATTTCTAATGTTTTTTTTTTCAGGATTTTGATAGTAGATTGGGATGTACATCACGGACAAGCCACTCAACAGATGTTCTATGAGGACGATAGGTACGACATGATTATAATTTTCTATGCTAATAAGACTTAAATTTTATGTCAGTTCTTACTGAATTCTTTTTCCTAGGGTTGTATACTTCTCGATCCATCGCTACGAGCATGGGAAATTCTGGCCTAATTTACGTCAATCTGACTTCAATTATATCGGAGAAGGTCGCGGCAAAGGTTTTAATTTCAACGTCCCTCTCAATACTACCGGTATGGGAGACGCGGACTACCTCGCGATATGGCATCAGCTGTTGTTGCCTATGGCTTTGGAGGTTAGTTGTCGTAGATTTTTTTCTATTTAAGTTAAGTTATTTGTAGTATTTAAATCTCTATATGGGAATTGTGTAGTACAAATGTGAAAGAAAATAAGACGGATGTGCGAAAGAGAAAAAAACATACAAACGAATTATATGATTGTTAACTGATTTGTTGCCGTCTAACGATCGTTTGTTTAATCTTAAGAGCAGGACCCTTACATACAGGCTGCATCTAGTGCGAGGCTACTGATCCCAACATATAAAAAATTCTATAAAAAAAATTGATAATCTCCTTTTGAGAATTCAGTTAAAAAGAGAAAACAATGTGTCTAGTTTAAAACTCATATTTAACACAATTGTACCAATACCTCAATTAAAAAGTATATTTTAGTAATCATTTGCAGCAGAATTATTAATGATGCTAAATATTTTGGGTAGGAAGGGCAAAGGACTAAAATTAGCCCTTAGACTAGATTGCAGGTGGAATTTCTCGCACTTCACTCCTCTCTTCTGTGTAGTCGTGGTATTGCGTGGAGCTAGCCGGCCCTAGCGCAAATAATTTAAAGCGGGTTACTGTTAGAAAATTGATATATTTTCTTAGTTTCGATACTAGATGGGGCATCTGCCCGTGGCGACTTCCATAATCCCCAATGTAATATAAGGTATATTAACATAGTATATGTATTTTTCTAACAACGGCAGTACCAACCGGAGCTGATCATAATATCTGCGGGCTACGACGCTGCCATCGGATGTCCTGAGGTACTTCTTCTTTCTATATCTCTTTCAGTACCAGCCACAACTAGTTCTTGTGTCTGCGGGATTCGACTCCGCGTTGGGTGATGAAAAAGTAAGTCTATTTAAATAAGTTTATAATACAAATCTTAATTAATATTTATTTAATGTTCTTTAGACATTGCCCTATTTGTACCAATTTTTTTATTTTATTCCCCACTAATTAGCCATTGTCATGGTTTTTGAACATAAATATTTCTAAAATAATTTAAGATTTAAATTGGTTTTGTTAAAATTATTACAAACAAATATAAAACATACTTATATCCTATTTAACGCGAAAAGTATCCTCTATAAGGCGAATATTCCAAATAATTCTCTATAACGCAATTTATGGCTTTAGGGGGATTATAACGCGAACCCATCAAGAGCGTTATAGGAAGTTTTTCTGGAAATCAATTATATTTGAGTATGGATGCACAGTAAAAATATAATAATGTAGGGTGAGATGCAAGTGACGCCGGCGTGCTACGCTAGTTTGGTGCACCTGCTGATGTGCGTGTGCCCCGCGCTGTGCGTGGTGCTGGAGGGCGGGTACTGCCGCAGCTCGCTGGCGGAGGGCGCGGCGCTGACGCTGCGCTCGCTGCTGGGGCACCCGCCGCCCATGCTCACTGCCACGGGGGAGCCTAGCGACTCGTCAGTATATTACATAATTGGTTATTGTTAAAATCAGCAATTCTGACTGATTCTTGAACCCTAGGTCACAATCTTACTAATATTATAAATGCGAAAGTTTAGATGGATGGATGGATGGATGTTTGTTAGAGTTTGTAGCCTAAACGGCTGAACGGATTTCGATGAAATTTGGTATGGATGTAGAGGATAGTCTGGAAGAACACATAGGCTACTCACTTTTGTTTTTTTTTTAATTCCACGCGGAAAACTAGTACGATATAATTGTTCAAATGCAATGCTACAAATTGCATTGTATTTGAAATTTGTAAGAATGGGCACCGCCAACTGATGACCTGATGACCGAAGGGGGGGGGGGGGTAGTGAAAATACTTTATTTCAAAGAGAATGCTTGTACATTTTTAATATACCCTTACAAGTTGTTTTAAATTGTTTATGTGAGTCTCTATGGATTGTAGACACATTGTTTTAAATGAATTTGTATATTTATTTTACGATTTTTGTCTCTATAAGGGAAAGCTGTCAAAATATCTTACCTCCACCCCCTCCTGCCATAACTGGTTTTATCTCTAGTCGAGCGAAATCCTCGAAATTCCAAAGATATTTTTAAAAACCCCTGTTTTTGTTTGAGTTTTTTCTTTGAATTAACACTTTACAAACATACAGGTGTCTATTTATAATAAGAGATTTTTTTAAATATTTTTCAGGATTCGCGAATCGATATTAAACTGCATCTACGTACAGAAGCCATATTGGCGTTGTTTCAAGTACCAGTCTACATATAGTGTAGGCAAGGTTCTGAATGTCGACGACGAACTGAAAGAGAAGCATATAGTTGTCCATAAGTGGGAGGGAGACGAAACGAGACCTGACAAGTTCGCTACAAGAGACTGCTATCCCAAACAGGATGAAAAAACAATAAGGAAAAATGAAGATAGATTAAATCATTTGAGAATAGGTAAGAGAGTTTAAATGAAAATTATTTAAAACTGTCTTGTATTGCAAATATAATAGCTGTTTCCATGCGGCTTCATCCTCGTGAAATTAAAAACGGTATTTTATTGTTTACATCTGTCAAATTCTCAATTGCAAATGTGAAAATACGAATTACCTTACTATGGCAATCTTGCTTCCTTGATGTTGGTAGCAACTTATGGTCTCTTTCCCACATTAGTGATTTTATCCAAAATATTTACCCAGTAAGTTTATAGGCGTAAAAATATATATCCTAAAGCGTGACGTAAGAGTAGGGCTTTTTATTAAAAAGATAATTATTCAAAAATATGCTGTGATTGCTGACATCTTAGGCAACAAAGAAGTGTGTGTTTACGCTTTATTATAATAGTATAGATTATCTATACAAAGATTTGTATTTTTGTATGTATTTAAATAACTTAAAAAACTATTGGACCGATTAAAATTCTTGCACCATTAAAAACTATGTTATCACTAACATAGGCTATATTTTTACTATTTTATTAATTTCACGCAGGCAAAGTCGTGAGCAACAGCTAGTATGTATATTTTTTATTACAGTAACGGATCTGTCCTTACCTCAGCATGCTGTGTGTTACATTTACGATGAAGCTATGCTCAAACATAAAAATATCTGCGAACCGTAAGTACTGTGTATTTAGTTACATTTTTTTTTATTGAATAATCTGAACACACAGTCAAATATACAAATCGTTGTATAGCTATAGCAAACTTTTTAAAATATCATCTAAAACTTTTCTTTTCGCGCCATTAAAATTATAGCATCAACAGATTATCGAAAAAATTGATATCGGTATTTAGTTATTGTATTAATATTTCATATACATGTATTATATCTTATACTAGCTTTTGCCCGCGACTCCGTCTGGGTAAAATTTAAAATAAATAAAAAACAATTAAAAAATGAACCCATTATCATCACCAGCTAGCTATATGTCCCCACCGAAGGGCGCGGAGCCATGTTACGGATAAATTACCTTTCTAACGGTAAATGATTTTTTTTTAAATCGGCTCAGTAGTTTTAAAATCTATTCATTACAATTAAATAAAGTTTTCCTCTCTATAATATTAGTATAGATAATACAATTTCCTTAACAGAGACCACGTGGAGTGTCCGGAACGTATAATGCGTATCCACGAGCGACACCGCGACTTCGGTCTGCTGGAGCGCCTGCACGCTCTGAGCGCGCGCACCGCCACGGACCAGGAGATACTGGCCGTGCATACACAGAAGCATCTCGATAGGTAACAACCAGTTTACGTTGACCCACCAACAAATTTACGAAACACGAATATTAAAACTACATTTTAGTTTATTAACTGTTGCCCGCGACTTTCTGTGCAGTATTAAAAAAACAAAAAAAAATGTCTTTCGGGATATATATATATCCCAAGTGTTACTCTAGATTTTGTTTTATCTGTGCCAAAATTCAATAAGATATGTTGAACCACAGAATTATCTAGTGAACATGAAAAATTAAAATTAATGTGTCCCGCAGGAATCGTAACTATTTCCAGGATCAAATCCTATGTGTTCTTCCAGACTATCCTCTACATCTATGCCAAATTTCATCAAAATCCGTTAAGCAGTTTAGACCACAAACTAACAAGCTACCATTAAATTTTTCGCGTTTATAATATTAGTAATATAGTGAATATAGACGCGTGGATCATCTATTTTTAGCATAAAGTAACAAAGTTGCTTTTTTAAGGTTAAAAGAACTGGCGACCACCAAACTGCGTCATCTAAATAACCAGAAAGATGATTACAATTCCCTGTACTTCCACCCTGATACACTGGAGAGTGCAGCTGTCGCCGCCGGCTGCGTACTACAGGTTACCTCAATATATAAAAATCTACACAACAAAAACAAAGAAAACCAGTGTACATTCATCCTAATTTGAACTTTATAAATATAAAACAAAATAACTAAAGTTGCAGACGCGACAAAATACGTAATGCATTTTAATTTAAATCTTATATTCCATGTATTCTAATTTGAATTTTATTCCCTTATATAGTAGACGCAGTATTGACTGACATTCTTGTATGTGTTCGGTCTATTCCAATTTTAATCTTATATATAAAGGCAGAAGTCGCAGTATTGAAAAGCATTACATGCTCGTACCTACTCAATGCAATCTAATTTGAGTCTTATTTCAATACACAGTAGACACAATGTTGATCAACATCAGAATTCCTTTGAGATTTATCCTAACTTGAACTTTATTCCCATATACAGACGACGCAGAATTGACTAACATTGTATACTAGCTATTATATGCATTCTAATTTGAGCCTTGAACCTAAGTTCCTTAGGCAGAAGGCCCAAATTTGTCTAACATTCCTGGTGAATAGGTATTCTTTGCAATCTAATTTGAGCCTTATCCCAATAGACAGTAGACGCAGTATTGTCTAAAGTGGCGAGTGCGGGTGTGTGCGTGGTGCGTCCGCCCGGACACCACGCGGAGGCGGATATGCCGAGCGGGTTCTGTTTGCTGAACAACGCGGCGATGGCGGCCACGTACGCGGTACAAGCGCATGGCGTCAAACGTCTGCTTATCCTGGACTGGGATGTGCATCACGGCAACGGCACTCAGAATATCACTTATGATGATAATAGAGTAAGTATTCACACTCAGATTAGTAAGGAAGACCCCTAATTCATTTAGGGCCAGTCCCACTACTGACTGATAGAGGCTCAGATAGCTTTAAAAAGATCAGATAAGTTAATAAAAACCGATATTTCTATTTTACATGTTGGATTTTTATCAGACAATTAAAATTTGGTGGGACAGGCCCTTATTATAAATGACGATGGGTGCTATATTACTAGTAATTGGATAAAATTGGTTTATACAATTTTATAAAAGTTAATTTAAGATTATTTTTTTATGAATGTAGGGTTGGGGCGGTAAAACAAACAGCCGTCTTCGTTTAAAGCTTTATTTTTCACCCTTCCCTACTTTACAAGATAAAAATTTTTCACTATGTTTTTTCCGTCTTATTACACGTCTTTCTTGCACTCTTTCCTGCATTCACTCTGTCTTTCATACGTCAGTCAAAATCAAGCATTCACTCTTACATCTTCGTTCGGAAACTCGCACTCACACATCCCACATGTATATGTCAATTTGACAGTACTCTATATTTATGGTTAGCGTAAGATTCAAAATTATCATCTGAAATTCTGCGTTGTTTTAATCTGCACCTTTTGTTTATAGATTTCAGCATTTTCGTGTTTTTTTTAATTTAAATTTAGTGAATTTTTAAATGCTACAGATACTATACATGTCGATACATCGGTACGACAACGCTGCGTTCTTCCCGCACTCGAAGGACGCGGACTACAAGGCGGTGGGGGAGGGCGCGGGGGAGGGGTACAATGTCAACATACCCTGGAATAAGGTAATAAGGGAATAAATAATAAAGTTTTATGTACTTTTAGACCAATTAACCTGTTATATGTATATGTTATATGTATGTATATTCCATGTGTGAGCGATTTATCATACTGAGGAAATACTAAAAAATACAAAATACTATAAATTTAGTATAGATATATAGGCCTTTGTTTTTTTTTTTAATATGACGCGGACGGAGCCGCGGGCAAAAGTTCTAAAATATTTTTAATGTAAAATTTGTACCTCCCACATTCAATTTTCACAACATGCATGAGACTGACAGTATAAAGTTTTTACTTTATTGTATTTTAGCGTGGTATGGGTAACTTGGAGTACATGGCGGCGTTCACGCAAGTTGTTCTGCCCATAGCTTACGAATACAACCCGGAGTTGGTCATAGTTTCAGCAGGTTTTGATGCTTGTATCAACGATCCTTTAGGCGGTGAGTATTACTACTAAACTTTTATTTTTAAATTTATATAAAAATACTCTAATTTTTGGTACAATTCTTAAGTAAACTTAAAAAAAAACTGCCTTAAATTGTATCATAATAAACTCCTAAAAAACTCCTTTCACATTCAATGTAAACTAATGATCGCTCACAGTGTCCAGTTAAGGACTCTGAGTGTGTCACTATTTAGAAAATCTTTATCCCACCAACAGGTTGTAAAGTTTTACCAGAATGCTATGGACGTATGACTCAAATGCTAAAAGGGTTAGCTGGAGGCAAAATTATCCTCTGCTTAGAAGGCGGTTATAACATATCAAGCACTTCATATGCTATGACAATGTGCACCAAAGCGTTACTCGGAGACCCCATAGAGTTAAACTACAACCCAGAAGAAGAAATCCACTGGTCCGCTGTAGAAACTATAAATAACGTCATCAAAACACAAAAGAAATACTGGAAGAGTCTAAAATTCCAGTTAGCGTTACCAATAAAGAATATTCTAGATAAACCAGCACCTTCTAGAGGGTTAATAATCAGTAGCCCTGTTCCACAAAAGCCAGTGTCAGCGAAAGTCACTTCTAAAGCATCTAACGGTCTACAAGGATTGACAAGTGATATGATGAATTTGAACATAAATAAATGTACAGATGGTATACATTGTGGTACTGATGATGAAGATGACAGCAAAATAAATAAAGATGCGGGTTGTTCGAAATCTTCTGGTGAGGGTAGTTCAAGTGACAAAGATAAAGGTAACAAAGAGGAAGAGAAACAAACTTTAGTGGATTATCTTTCTGAGAATATGCAGGCTTTAGTGGATGGGGAGATGTTTGCGGTGGTGCCGGCGCCGTGGTGCCCACACTTGGACACTCTGTTCGCTATACCTGAGTCTGTAAAGTTTGAACAAGGTGTCAAATGTGTGGACTGCGATGAGAAGAATGAAAATTGGGTCTGTCTGCACTGTTATGTTGTGAGTATAAACTTTCTTTTTTTTTTCATTTTCCGGTAACATAACATTGATATAATGCCATGCTTCAAGTTTTTTCTTTTAAATAATTTTTTTGACATATTTCTTCAACTAAGAAAATAATCAAAACTCTTGTATGCAGCGAAAATTGTTTAGATATTGTAATTTTAATAAATTATTTTATAAATTTTAATAAAAATATATTTACTATTGATAAGATAACATAAAAAACTGAAACTATATTAAAATATTTAACAAATTTGTAAAATGATTAGGCCATGCTTAAACACCAAATTCCGTTAAAATGAGGTTATCACATCGTAAGCACTACTTGAAAGCCAGTGATAACCGAGTCTAATTTTAATAACTTCTTCCATAGACTGCATGCGGGCGCAGTATAAACGGCCACATGCAAGCGCACTACAAAGCAACACAACACCCGCTGGTCCTCTCACTACTTGACCTGTCCGTATGGTGCAACGTGTGCGACTCTTACGTCGACAACCAACTGCTATACGACGCTAAGAATAACGCACATAAATGCAAATTCGGCGAAGATATGCCATGGTGTTACAAAACTGATATACATCTGGCATAATGTATTTTGTTGGGCTGTCGTAGTCCCTAAATACAAGGGGCGCCCGGGCGCCTGTCAGAAGCCTGCGGGCGCCGGACTCTTACGAACACCAATCAATGGGCGCCAAACTGATTACATACGCCCGGGCGCCCTGTGTGATTAGTACCATCCTGGTATTTTGAATATTATGTATTATGTTAAAATCCATCTATGGAATTTGAATATTTAGTATCATAGCTATATATTTATATGTATTAAAATAATAATTTTAATTAAAAGACATTACGTTATTAAACTATATAACTGCATTTATAATTCTTAACATATGTTTTAGAAATTGTATCCTATTGTGACTTACTTGTGTATGTTTTTTTTTTCATAAATAATGTTACAACCGCACAAAAAACTGGCCTAATTAAGACATAATTAATTAATGACATTAATAAAAATTATATCTTTAAAAATTCCGATTGACTTTATACATCAATTAAAAAAAATATATTACTTCATGTAATATACATTACACATAATTCAATATGACATCCCTACATTTAGGTGAATTAGGTAAAAAAAAATAGTGTTTAGTGTGATTACTAAAAAATATACCAAATAATTGTTTTTATAAAAAATGGACAAAAGGCAACAAAAATAAAAAAAGTTACAGCTTAGTATTAAAATCAAATATGCATTTTTTCAATGATAAAAACTCAAAAAACTTTGCTTGTCTGGCTCTTAACTATTTTTATGTATTGGCAATATAGAATTAAAACCTGCCATAGTGGCATCTTTATTTTTATTGTATTTCTACGATACAAAGCAAATGATGCCACCCTTTATATTATTTTGTATTTATTTTAATGAATTATAATTCTAATTTATATTTATTTTTGATTCTTAGACTTAAGACGCATAAAATTATATGGGCCAGTATTTTTAATTGCATTTTTTTAACAAAGTAATTAAATTTTATTTGTAATAGATTAGTGATCGTTTTATTTTCGCACAAATTAAATAAGATGGTTTGGACTCATTTATGTCGTATTTTCAAATTTCAATGCATTCTGTAAACATCATCTAGTCTTATGGTATATGATCTTCCACTGTCTCTTTGGGATCTGTTGAAGTCTAAAACACAATAATTGTGAACTTTGTACCCTTTGGTGATTATCTGAAGTTATAAATTTTTTAACCAGCCTTAATTATTGAATCATCAGCTAAATAACTGTAACTACTAGATTTTTTCTGAAATTAATGTAACAAATAATAAAGGCATATCATCAAACAGTGTTTGGGTTATTTTTCCCTATAATTGTAGATGAAACGATGGGGACATAAACCAGAAAGTGTTAAGATTGAATGTGGATGGCTACAAAGGTAGAGGAAGACCGAAGAAAGTATGGATGGATTGCGTGAAAGAGGATATGCTTAAGAATGGAGTGGATTCAGATATGACGGCTGATAGAGATGTATGGAATAGCAGCACATACTGTGCCGACCCTCCGTAAGGAATAAGGGCTAGTGGATGATGATGAAATGTAGACGAGCTTGCAATTACTCGAATTGTTTGCTACATTTTAGATTGAAGAAGTTTGAAGTGGACTATACTAGGCATCAACTCAGCAAACACAGTGGTCGAAATATAATTTACCTGAAGGACTCAATTTTTTTAGTAAGCCACACCTTTCGAGTGGTTGACAGGCGGCATTTGGTTGTCAATGTCATACATGTCAGGCGACTGACAGATGTCAGTTTTTAATGAAAAATGTCCGATTGAATTGAAAACTTCCGTTGTTAAATAGAATAAATTCATTTCAATGGACTTTTTAACGCATTCAATAACTACAAATATCCTAGTTACGTAGCGCCAAGATAAAATGTTTATAAAAACTGAGATATTTAAAGCTATTTCATTCAGAAAACCTGCAACGCTACCGTTATCGTATTGGTTGTTAGTGGTTGCAAGATTCGTTTTGACTTTACTGCCGCAGTTGGGCTACATACATCCTGATGAATTCTTTCAAAATGTTGAAGTTATTGCAGGTAAGGGATAGTCATGTTTAACTAAATCTAATGTTAGATTTTTATTTACCCTGTGTTAACCATTTATGACTTGTAACTTATAAATATAGTAAATTTATTTTTTAAATGTAGTTCATGAAGTTTAACAAAAACCATTGTCTTGTTTAAAGTCTGTGTATTGTGTTCTATACAATTTTATTTACATTGCATAGAATCAATAAGTGAGTTAAATAACATACATTCAAGTACTTATGAATTTTGAAATTTTTTAGGTGATGTCTTCACAATCGATGTTGCCAGAACATGGGAGTTCAATCCAAAATTTCCAATCAGAAATATGTTTGTACCAAAGATGGTGCTTGGAATACCACTACAGTTCATTCGTATCTTAAACCCATATGCAAAAGCCTATTTTAACATTGATTTACAAACACCATATTACCTGTTAACCATACCGAGACTTTTCATATGTCTCCTTTCTCTGATTAATGATTATTGTTTGTACAAAATATGTATTCTCTATGGTCAAAATTTTCGGAATAGACTGAAAATATTTGCAAGTTCATATGTTGTGTTTGTCTATTGTTGTAGAAGCTTTTCCAATACTTTTGAAATGATTTTCTTCTCCTTATTACTTATGTTAGTTGCTGAATGCATGTGTATATCAGATAAAGTTATCTATCATGATGAATTTCTGACTGAGAAATACAAACAGGCAGAAACTCCAGTGGAGAAAGTTAAAATTTTTAAACTTAAGACACATTTGCCAGAACATTCCTTGAATAGGGTATTTCTTCTTGCAAGTTTAGTTGTAATTGGTATATTTAACCGTCCAACGTTTATTTGTTTTGCTTTTGCTCCAGTTTTTTTCTGGTTACACAGAGGATTGGGTTCCAAAGTTGTTGGTTTTAAAGATTTTCACTTTAGGATCTTTACATTCATGCTTTGCGGCGTACCAATGGCGCTACTGCTTATATTAGTTGACTCTTGTTACTATGGTTACCTGACAAGTGCGGATGTCGAATCTCTGAAGCTGTCGTGGGACAATTGGGTCGTTACACCACTAAACTTCCTAAGATATAACATGGATACAAGGAATCTCAAGGAACATGGGCTGCATCCTCGTTGGCTGCATTTAGTTGTCAATATACCACTATTATTCAATGTTTTGGGAATATTAGCTTTCATCACTCTATCTGGCAACACTTACAGGTAATTTTAATTTCTATATTTGAATACCCAATTTAAAGTCTAATGTAGTAAGATTTCTTAAGATTCAATTTAGGTTTACAAAAGAATCTACAAAGAACAATGAAGAAAATGGTATTGTTAATTTAATTTATTATGCTAATTACGAAGAAAATAAAATACACATGACAATCCATTGTTATGTAAACTGTTTTGTGTTCTCATTCACAATTGTTGAATAAGGTATTGTTTGCCATATTTAGAAAGAATTGCAGATAATAAAAATAAAAAGTTATTACAAGTACATAATTGAACAAATATTACTTAAGAGTATTTAGTACTAACAATCGCCTGCATCTCCGTCTGCAGGGAAATAAAACAATACTTAAAAATGTGTTTTTCCAGACTATGCTTTACGTCTAAGCCAAATTTTGGCTAGATCCTTTTATCCATTCTGGAGATGACTAACAAACTTCCATCTATCTAATCTATCGCATTTATAATATTAGTAACATATAGTTTACTATTCTTGTTCCAGATTCATCCGTGGACAGTACAGTAAATTGCCAAGAATACAAAGTATTACAGGGCTGATGCTTTTCTCTCTGATAACCCCTGTCGCATTACTTTCGTTGATTCCACACCAAGAGGCAAGGTTCATCATCCCAATATTAATTCCACTAATTTACCTTTACGGGAATCATCTTCATCCCAACGAAGCTGACACAACGATAAAACGAAGTGTAAAGAATACTCTATGCTATACTTGGTACATAATTAACATTTTACTAACAATGTTTTTTGGATTTATACACCAAGGTGGAATTATACCTTTCAGTAATACTTTGCATCAGGAAATTAAAAGTTATTACGGAGTCCATACGCATGTAATAACAACACACAGCTATAGTATACCTAGCTATTTGTTACAATTGGAAAGTACTACAAAACTTTGGAAGGATAAAAATACAGGTCGCAAGTACAGATTGACTCCGACAACATTCATTTATAAATATGGTTCATTACCAATAGAGGATCTGTTTATTAAAATAGATGAAGTTTTAACCGATGCTGAAATGTTGCTACATAAATATAAAAGACAGTACAGATTTTATATCGCGTCTCCATGCTCTTTGGAAAAAGAAATCCGTGCAGCGTCCAGAATGTACACTTATATAGATATAGAACACGAATTTTCATACTACCCCCACTTTTGTACGGAAGCTTTCCCGAAATTTCCAAGCAGTAGGGATCAATTCTGTTTTGAAAGTAATGTCTTAAGAAATGAATCTCAGATTGTTGATTTAGACTTTTTCCAACGAATAACTTGTTTTCTAAAGAGATTTTGTCTTAGAATTTATCGCGTAAGGCCTTCAAATTATAAAATATAATGCACCGCCTTTATGATATGTTAAGTATTTTTAAATAATGATTTCAAAGATCTGAAACAAAAGACATGTTTGTGCGCTTTACACGCATTTTATTTTTAGTTGTACGTATTATGGTATGCTATATTAAATTGCTCAATTGTTTTTGTTTAACTTTATGTTATGAATATCCTTTTATCATAAGTGCCATTTTTGTTCATGTTGTTACAACATCGTCGTAATTATTTTACCAAATAGTGGTAAATATCTTAAGTATTTAAGATCCTAAACAGTCATTTTCAATCTTATATTTAGAGCTGGGTGTAATAAATTTGAAATCTGTTAAAAGACTTTTTGTTAAATACTGTAAATGTAAAATTAAATTTAATTGTGAGTTCATCAATTATTAATTTACTAAATTAATTTTTCCAGAAATAACTTAAATTCAACCTAAATACACTTTATGAATACGTTGTCACCACAAATGTTTAATATTTAGTTTTATTTTACTGTGATGCAAAATTTGCAGAAATCTTGTACACCGTGTACCAAAGATGATTGTAAAATATTTCACAAAAGTAGTGTTGCTTACATTTGGTTATTATATTACACTACAATAAAGATATGCAATGCTTGAATTTCTTTTCTTTTCTGTCATCTACAACTTACGCTTGGGATAAATAAGGAGAAATGAAAGTGCTAAGGTAAAATTAGTGCTTAAACATTTTATAACAACAGTTTTCAGGGCTTACGCAAAATCAAAAAAGGAAAATAACAACTCGTCAAACCACGAAACGCATTCATGAGACCTTAAATAATGAGGATTAGACAGTGGGGCATATCTAGCGGATTTAACAACCATATTTTTTATTGTCTGGTAGAATCTTTGAAATTGTGTAGGATTTTACATTTTGTACGATGGTAACACTGCCTTTAATTGTCGGTTTGACGTTTGACAGCTGGTTAAGAGAAAATTTTAGTTTCGATCCGAAGATTCTTCTCCGTAATTATATCGTTGTCGTGAATTAAATAATAAATATAAACTTTAGCAAACTCTTACTATAGTATCAGTTATTACATCTAAAACATTTAACAGCAGAAGGAAAGCGTCGTGCTATTAAAAATGGTTTTACAAGAAGACGCTCAGAAGAAGTTTGAGATGACCCAAGATCTGGTGAAAATTTACGAATGGTTGTTGAATATGTATATGTTGGTAAGTATTCAACATAAACTTCATTAAATTACAATGTTAAATGCGGGCTTTTATATATTTTTTTCGAATCTGATAAAGATATGAAAATTTTCTCTAGAATGTGAATAGAATGTGCGCAAGTCTAAAACGTGACCTGATAATTTATAATCAATATAAGTAAGAATCTATTTTTGTCCCTTGTGGCTTTGTATATAATATAATGTACATACATATGTAATTATTTAAGGACTATCAAAATTTTTTGAGATAAATATTGGTCATATTACATATAATTAATGTACTTTATATCTGATTAATCCAACCCGCAACTACGCCCGCGCGGTATTACAAAAATGACTAAGTAAGAGACTCTTCCAGATTGCTCTACATCTGTCTCCATATTCATGGAGATCCATTCAGTCATTCTAGAGATATTCCTCACAAACATCCAACCATCTATAATTTCGCATTTATAATAGTGTTGATATATAATACATACATTCCAGGACTTTTACGTTGACCATCAATGGAGTACTCTTCCGGCATCGTGGAATGAAAGTCTTCAGACTATGGATCCCGAAGATTTGGGAACCTTACTCTCAGGTGCACCAATAAAACATATGCTACCATTATCCTTGTTATCCCTAGTTAAATGTGCCCACACGCTAAGCATATCTCGGAAAATGAACTATAAAACTAGAATTATTGAAGACTTTCCACATTCAGAAGTTGCTAATAATCCCAAATTAAAGAATCTGTTTTTAAAACATGTGAAATTAAAGAAAAGGCACGAGATAAATTTAATGGCTGAAATTGTTAATGAAACAGCAAAATTAAGTAATTGCGGAGCTGTTCTGGATTTTGGTTCTGGGCTCGGCCATCTTATGCGGGTTTTGAGTTACAAATATGATTTATTTACAATGGGCATAGAATCTCAGTCACAATTAACAGAGCAAGCTAGGTCTGTACAATTTACCATTAATAATAAAAAATTAATTGGTTTTTTTTTTTAAGATATATGTTTTCACTAGTTGCCAGTATTCTCCACATAACGGAAGCTTTCATATTTTCTTTTTTTTTTTAATAAAATATTTGGTGATAACTAAATATTACTTGTTCCAGGACTTTCGACTTGGAACTAGAGTACACAGCAAAGAAGCATCTGTCAGAAGAGTTGATGTCGAAACTTAAAAGACCAACACATATAAACTTAACACTAACATCTTCTGAGCAGTTGCTTCAGCTGCCTTTAACTGCTAATATAACTGAGTATGGCTTAATCGGTCTTCACCCGTGTGGTGATTTAGGACCACTATTGCTTAAGCATTTCATTAACTGCGAAAAAGTTAAGTTTATTTGCATAGTAGGTTGTTGTTATATGAAATTATCTTGCGATATCGAACCTTATGGATACCCTATGAGTGAATATGTTAAGAATTTAGGAAGTAAACTGACTTTTACAAGCAGGGAGATAGCTTGCCATGCTATTGAGACATACGCTGAAAGGCTGATGAAGGGAGAATATGAGTATTTGAAGGTAAGTGTAGTTAAAAAATACAAATTTATTGCTAAATAAACATTACAGATATTGAAAATAAATTAGTATTAGTAGTAGATATTTTATATCTATACATATAATAAAATTGGAGTGTCTGTTTGTAATATCAACTGAAAAATTCCAGATTACGGGAAAATGTATTTACGTTGCTGATATCAAAAATTGCATTTAAAATTTTTTGTCTGTCTGTTTATTTCGGCTAATCTCCGAAACGGCTGGGCCCATTTCGACCGGAGTTTCACATAGACGGCCATATTATATGTTACCTTTTTATCTTAATACTAGCTGTTCCCCCTGCGGCTTCATCCGCATGAAATTATGAAAGTTTTATTTTATTGCTCACATTCGTCAAATTATTAATAGCAAATGTCAAAATGACATGACATACCTGGATAATCTTACTTTCTGGATGTTGGCAGCAACTTATGGTCTCTTTCCCACATTAGGCTTTTTATCGAAAATATTTACCCTCTAAGTTTAATGCGTAAAAATATATAGGCTAAAGCGTGACGTAAGTGTAGAGCTTTTTAGTAGAAAAAAGAATTATGCTGTAATTGCTGACATCTTAGGCAACAAAGTGTGTGTTTACGCTTTTTTTATAATAGTATAGATTGCGCGGATGAAGACGCGGGCAACAGTTAGTAGTAAATATAAGTATATGTCGGAGTTGGGTCTTTCTCCCCGACATCATTGCTACCGAGTCTTGGTTTCGTGGGCGTCATTTGGGTGAAGTGCGAGCATTAAAACACTAGAGACACGGATTAACACAATATATTTCGGAATCTACAGTTATCACATAGCAAATCAACAAGCAAGACCGAGCAGTGAGTTCAAAGCACCAATCTTTAGACACTACCAACAAACAAACGATCCAACTCGATCCGTTTCTATTTCAAAAAGGTCCCATAAACACTATCGAACTGCCTTATAAAGATGGCGCCTAGACCTCACTCAAGCCAAGTGCTCTGCTCTGATTGGTCTTTACTTAATTTGAGATTACAATGTTATTTAGTCCAAGAAAAACGTAACTAGTAAAGTAAAATCGAATTAAAAGTTATTAGGAGCTTTTACAATTTCAATAAACATTAAATATTGCATACAATTCGTAAACAGTAATTCATTAGACAATGGCTACTTAACAACTTCCTATTTTGACTATAATCACAAATTTGTTATCAAAAAATATGCTTTAGGCATTATAACAAAATAGAAGTTCGTAATTAAATTAACTTAAGATTTACAAAAGGTGTTTACATGATAAAGAGAACGTTAAGCGTTATAATACAATCAACAAGCAACTCCTTCAATGATTTCCTCCGACATATATATAAAGTTAAATTTCAGATCCACGCGTTCAGGGCGGCTTTGGAGAAGATCTTAGTGGAACATGATCCCGCATTGAAGCACTCCCCTGTCCGCAGCATTAAACATTCTAATACCATGACTTTTGACAGGTATACATTTTTATCTCATCATACTAATATTATAAATGCGAAAGTTTAGATGGATGATTGTTAGTTTGTAGCCTAAATTGCTGAATTTAATTTGGCATAAATGTAAGGCACAGTCTGGAAGAACACATAGGCAACTTACTTTTGATTTCTTAATACCACGCGGACGGAGTCGCGGGCGAAAGCTCGACTTTTGAATAAAAAACAAAGTTAGGATAAGATTCTTTATTATAAAACTAGGTACAGTTGTTTTTGTGTGATATTACAATAGACAGAATGCTCATTATGTTTGAATTCTACATACTATGTTTCGTCCCCGTGGAATTGAGAAAAAAGTAAATAACCTATGTGTTCCAAGATTGATACCATATCTGTACCAAATTTCATATCCGTTTAGCTGTTGACTAAACTATCGTACAACTGTTGTTTCGCAACCAATTCAACTGTTTAGTTGCACAACTAAAAATCGAGTGGATGCACCTCCATATAATCTCATAGGAATCAAAGCGCGAAAAGTTGTGCGATTGTGTTCTTAGTTACTGTAGTGCCGCGCTGTCGCGTCTGCACGTGTGTCTGTGCGCGGAGGCGGTGTCCGCGGGACACGACTGCGTGTCTCGATGGAGGCACGTTGTACTGCTCTACTCGCTGCGGCTGCTACTCGCCCCCGCTGTAGAGACACTAGTGCTACTCGACAGGATGCTCTACGTACTAGAACATGGTAAGTATTACTGCCCACAGCTGCCCCATGCCAGTAAAGTAAGCCAGTGCTCAATTTCCGTATACAATAGCATGTCTCAAGTATGTTACTGTCTAATTGTTCCAGCCATATTTAAACTAAAGTTTATTTTTTTACGTTTCAGTAATGAGAAATAAAATGAATTTTAAATGTTTTATAAATTTCTTTATTAAATTAAAACACGTAAATTGAATAAATACATTTTTGGTATACAAATTATGTACAGATAGCTTTACACAAGAAAACATTGATAGTAAAGCAAGACTAGATATTTTTGGCACTTACAAATAATAATAAATATTAAGGTACTTTAATGCTTGAAACTATAGTAATCATTCAAAAGTTCACTTTAAAACTATAATCAATTCGAATAATGTGCAAAAATATTCGAATATAACTTTGAAGATTCAGATTTTAATACTGTGTTACTGACCCTACCTTTTACGATTTGACAGTTATGACGTCACAATATGGCGCGTTCATACACAATCTTATAGGTAACTTATTTTTAATTTTTGGTATTATGTTAAAATTGTTCCAGGTCTTCAGTGCGAGATTCGGCCAGTATTCGATCCGAAAATATCACCCCGCAATCATATAATCATCGGTAGAAGAATCTAGTTGTTTCTTGTTATAAAACTATATGTATGCTATTTTCATCAAATATAATCTATACTTAAAATTATTATGCTATTTTATTTTTATACCACAAAACATACATAATTATATGATTATATTTTAGAATTATTTCTAGAATTCTGACCTATACATTAAGCAATTATTTTGTGCCACCTTAATTCAAAGTGAAGTTTTATTTGAATAATTTACAATAAAACTACTTTTCATATCCAAAGTTGTGATAGTATTTTCCTAACCTAAAAATGAAATTAAAATACACAGACGTATTCTAGATTTATCAAAAGATTTTAAAGGGCATTGCATTGCGATTGAGACGGAGGCAATCACTTATTAGTACTCATTATAACATGAGCTATAGACGAGCGCAGACGTCTGTCGTGTTTATTATCGAGCTAGTACTCACGGACATTACCAGCTATCTTAAGATAAAAAATATAGATCACTTGACTAGGAATGAGGTAATAAGTTTGTTTTTTCTTAAAAGAAGACTTAAAGTTACGAATTCCTAACTAGACTCATATATATTCCATAAACGCTGAATAAAAATGACTTACTAATTCTAATTTGCACGCATATTTGTCACGTTGTAGCCGTGTTTGATACAAGCCCACATGCACACCCTTTTATAAACAATCGAAACTTGTAAATAAGAAATTCTAAATACACTTGATTAAAAAATACCCTTACAAAATGGTGTTCTGGTTATTAGGATATATTAATTTGATGCACAGTAAGGTAAGATACTTTATGAAATATGCAGGAGTAGAATTGGAACAGTCTTGCCAGTCGAGTCTCACGTATTCGACGAAAAGATGATTTATAAGAGAATTCCTTCATCATTTAGATTTGAGTGATGTATTTTGGGGTGTATGTGGTGTAGCGAGCACTCAGCACTGCATGTATACTGTGCGGGTGAGTGCGGCGGCGCGGGCGGCGCGGGCTGTGCGTGCGGGCACGTGGCATCAGGCGGTGGCGGGGGCGCGCGGTGGAGCGGGCAGCATGGGCGCGGGCTCGTCCTCGCTGTCGTCGGAGTGCACGCGTGTGAACCGCCGCCGGTCCAGCAGACGAAGCAACTTGAACTCCCCGCGTCCGTACTCCCAGCGACGACGCGCCGCGCATTTACGACCTGCAGTTGATTATTGTACAAAAATTATACCTCTATTTGATCCAACGCTGAAAGTGACTAGAGGCATGTAATTTTTTGTAAATGGCGACCATTACGATGAATGTGAGTGAAATTGTTAATAAGGGTAATTTTTGGTTCGCATGTTTTTTTCCAAGGTCTAGTACAGACATGTACAGTCACCTTCGTTCGCGTTGTTGTAGTTATAGAAATGTAAACTATTTTAATTATTAAAATATTTTAATAACAAAATTAAACTTCTTTTTCTTTATCAAATCTTTTTCAGCCAATCAGTACAAATTTCTGTTAAAAGACCTACCATTACTTAACTTGCAAACTTTTCGTAAACGTAAATTTACTATCCTCATTTGATAATTATCCTCGGTTTGTGCATTGCCGCTCCCCTAGACTTCATCAAAATTAGCAAGTGGCTACTAAAAGCTAAAGAAACAAGAAATTCTTACCAGATTTCAGTTCGGATGACAAAACATAAAACATTAAAAAAATTAAAGTGCGAAAGTGATAAAGGTGCAATAAAAATAAAAAGAAAACAAAGCTGCTTCAAAATAGTATATTTTTCAATAATACAATTGTCACATCTTACAAATTACAGAAACATAAAAATAAATGAGAAATAAACAGTGCAAAACAAATCACAACAGATAAATAAAATAATAAAATGACAATTAAGGCTAAAAAGAAATCACTTTAGAACCGGACAAAAAACATACAAAAATAAATCAGATCAAAGACTTCAGATCAGATGAAAATTAAATTAAATATTTGTGACGTTTCAGAAACCCATAGAATAGTCTTAAAGTAAACTAATCGCAAGATTCAACTGCCGAATAACCTGTACAAAAATAATTAGATTTTTTTTAAAGTGGAATGAAAGAGATGGCAATATAAATCATATACCAGTAATTCAGCAGTAAAAACACGATGATGTTCAAAACACATTTACAAAGATCACAGGAAGTCAAAATATGTATGCATTTACTTTTTACTGATCATGTTAAATTTATGTACCTCGATTCCTATATACTAAAAGTTTATACTAAAAATAATTAGTGAAATAACAGTGTGACCTCTGCAGAAAAAACCTCCATAAAAAAATCACAATTTTTTTTGTGAATGTATCACCAGTGAGTACAGCGTAAAACTAGTAAAACTAGTTGACTGTCTCTGACATAGTTAACTTCAATATTGCACACGAAAAAATATTTATACACTGGTAAAATAAATAAAAAAGTTCTCTCTAATACATATAACTTCTTCGTAAAAAGACATGATCTAAAGACGACAGATATCTCTGTTTTAAATATAAAGTGTTTTGATATAACGAATGTGTGCAAGATGTACATTATATAAAAAATAAAACACTACTCTTGTTGCTTTATAAAATCTAAAATTGGACTAAAGGGAAAGACCTAATTAAACTTAATATAATTAAATAAATATGTAAGTCTTATTTTGTTCAGTACGAATTAAATAATGAAACTATTTTCATAATCTATTAAATAAAGGGTATATACTGTTTAGTGTATAGATATAATTTTAAAAATTAATTGTAAACCTACCAAATTAAAATTATCTATAATAGTAGCAAAAAACTATACTATATACTCATATTCACTGGAATGTATTATTACAAAACATTTTATTTTATCACATCGTTATAAAATGTATTATTTTTGTTAAATTATTATTCATATGCATAGAATATTAAAACTTACTTCTTATCACAATTCCTTTTGATGGTTAGCGATTTATAACCAAGTACCCAATCCTTTCAAGTAAATGCTACAATATTTCGTATCTGGCCATTTACATTGTACAAGACAGTGGCTCAGTGTACTTGAGGCGAGTGTACAGTCAGCTACGTTCGCGGTAGTCGAGTTACAGAAAAAATCGTTTTAGCGTGTGTAGTGAGTGCATATGTGTAATTACTGCACGAGGGGCTCAGCCTCCACCTCCTTACCGCGGTTCCTGGCGCGCAGCAGGGCGAGGGCGCCGAGGGCGAGCAGCGCCGCGCCCACCGCGCCTAGCGCTGCGCCCATGGCCCCCGACACCGCGCCCCACGTGCCCACCGCGCCCATCGACACTGCGCTAGACCCTGACATTTCTGCCCACACATACAACCAAGTTATTACTAGTTAAAGTGGCAGATCTAAGAACATAACACAAATAATGTGTGAAAGATGACAAAGTGGAAAAAACATATGACAGTACATTGAAAGGCGAAGAAGAAAGCGTTGTGCCTCCACGACTTGAACTGCGACTAACAACATAGTATTAAAACAGATCAAACATGCTTCCTAATGTGACAAGTGACGTCACAATACATAAGATATAGCTGAAAGTACAATGAAAGCAAATAGAACTTAAAAACACCATTCACCAAAGCATATTTCAAACGAATCTAATTAGAATTTAGTTATGGAAAATTGATTCATAAATTTTACATTATGATATTTATTACACTCGGACAGGTTTCATAGTTTAAACACGTAGAATATCATATAGTAAGTGTAACATTTTTTTTTATTCATTTAATTTTTCTGTTCTATAAGTCTTAACGATTTTTTATTTTTAGTCTTATTTAAGACTTTAAGAGGTTGAATGATATAAATCATTGACTTCTACATTAAAGCCACATAAGAGCTTACATTAAAAAAATCCTGCATTTAAATTAAATACGCGAGAACTTTTTTATTTACTTCATTAGTATACTTAACCAGTATTAGTTACAAACTAAAATATCATTAAACACAAAGAACAAGGGATTTCAGTGAAATGAAAACATGTAACGTGTCATAGCATCACTGACCGACGGTGGCGGTGGGCTTGGCGCGCGGCGCGGTGTCGGAGGCGTTGCGCGGCGTGTCGTCCACGAACTTGCAGACGCGGTAGGGGTCGAGCTCGGGCACGAAGAGGCGCGCGCCGTCCGCCGACACGGCCACGTCGTGCGGGTTGGAGAACTTGCCCGCGGGCGCGAACGTGCCCACCAGCCGCCCCGACTCGTACTCCAGCACGTAGCCGCGCACCGGCGCGCCGCCGCTCGGGCCGTTCACTACGTACAAACGACCGCCTGCGGACGATATTATCTATATTTCTCTATTTCCAAACCAATACGACTTAGGTTTCTTCAAGAAGCGAGCCTACAATTTCCTCAAAGACCAGCAACGCATCTGTAGTTTCTCTAGTGTTGCGGATGTCGGATGTCGGATGTGCGGATGGGGTCGTTCAACCATCTAAAGTTTCTTATTTATAACATAAATAAGATGCTAACGATTAGATTATAGTTAATACGTAACGAGAAATATTTGAAAATGTGAGACGATAATAAGTTGAAGGCTGCTTACCATGTACGGGCGCGTAGGCGACGCTGAAGAGCCGGTCTCCGATGAGCCAGCTGGAGTAGGCGGCGAGGTAGGTGCCGTTGTCGGCGCGGAAGCACGCCACGCGGCCGCGCTCGCGGTCCGCCGCGCACACCGCGCCGCGCTCCTCCGCCAGCGCCAAGGCGTGCGGCACTTTGAACACGAACGGGGAATCCCCGTACCCTGTTGTGTATACACACTAAATATCTACTCAAATCAAGGGTTTAATAGTGGAACACTGATTCTTTGTATTCAAACAGTTTTGAAGCGCCAACAGCCTAAAAGTTTCGTGTATGGACTACCGATCTTGCGGTCGAGGGTTCGAATCCCACCATTCGAGACTATTGTCGTGAACCATATCCTAGAGCAAACATTGATCTTAGTTGGAATGGTTGAAAGAAATGTTTTGTGACAATTATCTATGTATACCTGATAAGGTGTAATTAAAAGAAAATCCCTAAATCGAGTGAATTTTACAGTAACGTGATTTAAAATTACAAAAAAATATTTTACCCAATAATACTTATACTAAACATTCAATATGTAGCTATAGAAGTTTATTGCGTACGTTTCCCCCACTGCAGTATCCGCGTGCCGTCGGGTGCAAACTTTATGATCCTAGTGTTGCAATAGCCATCTGCTACAAAGAACTCCCCACTGGACATCACCGCCACCGCGCTCGGCTTGCAGAAGTGGCTCTCATCGTCGCCGGGCACGAATCTAGTTAAGAAAAGTCTAAGTAACTTAATCCTGAATGAAGGTTAATTTCGTTCGCAAAGCAATTTTTGTAACTGGAACACCGCAAATTAAGCTGACTGTACCTAGTACTTAATTTAGTATATCAATTTAACATTTTAGGTATTTTAATATTCCATATTTATAGACTCCAATAATTAATATGATGTATTATTTAATAAATAAAAAAAATTTAAACCCACTTCTCTCCGAGCACCATAGCCGGTTTGTCCCGCTGGTCAGGTGTGAACTTGAAGACCTGATGTAGAGCCACATCAGTCAACCACACATTACCTACAGCATCAACTGTGATACCATGAGGCATGTAGAAGCTATGAAATGTAAAAAAAAATTGAAATAAACATATTAAAATCCTAATTTCTACTAACAGTTTTTACTCAAAGCAGGACAGTAAAAGTAGTAAATAGTAGATATGTGGCTACGAAATTATTTTTTTTGTACAATTACAATAATTCACACAATCACACGATAAAAAGTACTGGTTAAAATATAAAAAAGGTAGTATGGTTAAAGGATAAAAAGTACTGGGAAAATCAAATAAAAAGTTAGCATTTTTGAATGATACTGTACATGTTAATTACAAGGCTAAAACATAAACATAAACAGAAACAAGTGACATTTATAAAATACAAAAACCTGATTAAATATTATTATACTATATAAACAGGAATTAAAGGCAGTTTTGTTTTAAAGTACAATGTACATATAAATAAGTACTACATTTGTACATTTACAGCCTATTATTTGAGTTTTTTTTTTTATAATTAACATAATAAGTGCCATCATGGTGTTATGACACATCAATTAAATAATATGTTGCATTGTAGTAAAGAATAGAAGCAACTAACCAAAATACTCACAGATTTTTTCCCCATTTATCAACCAATTCTCCAGTGTCATTTATCACCAGGATTGTTGGTTCTGGTATAGGCTTTTCTCCAATACCATTGTACACATTTCTATCACTAAATGTACTGGCGCCCCATATGTTAGGCCCACGATGGAACACTAGAAGTAGACCGGAGTTGTCCAAAGCAACTCCAGATACTTGACCCATAGTAATAGATGCATCTGGCCAGTTTTCCACCCATTTTGGTTCTAAAATTTTATTTTTGATAGTTTAAAAGTTCATCATTAATTTTAATTTATTCTTTAAACTTCAACATGTTTTTTTATAACTACTTTGGATATAAAATATACGAAAAATACGAACCATGTTCTAACTTTTCTATTGCTGCAGCAAATTGAGGCTGATGATGTTCGTACAAACCATAGTAATCATTCACAGGTACCTAAATTAAATTTAAATTTGATTAAACTTCCGTAATAGCATAACAAAATTTTTATTCCAATTTATTTCCTTACCCTTCGTGCTGAAGTGTAGATAAAGTTTAACACTAATACTAATACAATATTTACAACATTCGATACACCTGTACATGATAGAGATTTCATCGTAAGTATATTTATTATTTAAACCTTATAAATATTTAAAATGCAGTTTCTTAAACATCAACAAGTAAATGAATTCTTATCAAATTTTATCATGACTGACGTTTGGTGACGTATGCGATTTAGTGTTGCCTGCGTTGAATCGGGTTTCCTTTTAATATTCGAAAGTGTCCTTATAATAATCGGCAGTTTTCGGTTAATAGAAAATTCTCCTTTTAATAATATGAAAATCTGATAGTACAAAGGGATATCCTTTTTATGATTTGGATATTTATATTGTATGATAAAAACTCGTAAGAATTTTAGGGTATTATTAAATAGCATAACGATAGAAACATGAGGTCATGTCTTTCATGGAGGTGGTTTCAATGGTCTTAGGGAATGAGAATTTGATTATTGAGTAAAACATACTACTGTGATTTAAAGCATTATAATTGTATTTGAAAAATCTTTTATAATTTTCAAAACTTTAGATTTTAGGTTAAATAAGAAAAAATCAAATGTATCCATTAACTAATAAGTTTATTTGACACGCACAATAAAAGTGCCATTACACCTGAACGGAAAAGTGACATTATATAAATAAACCCATTTGTTAACGGGGTCGCACATTTGCCTTACTGTTCCAGTATACGGCGCATTATCCTTAGCACTATTCCTCCTGCGCCAGACTTTGTGCAAGAGAGTCATCAGACATTCGTCAAGAACAACTGCGCTTGCTCTTGCGTTACCCTCATCCTCTTCTTCATTTTCCTCAAGGATTTCGGAGACTTATTACAATCTTGTCCCAACGACGAGATGTGTGAACTGAGCTTGTTCACCAACTCGACTCTTGTCTTGGCGAGAACATTATCATGTGGCTTAGCGCACATAAGTCGTCTGTGGTAAAATACTAATTTATTCATTGTCTGATCCACACTCTTTTTGCCCTTCCCTTGATCAGCTTCATTCACATCCACTTTAGTACTTTTCTTCTGCCAATTTCTATTCAACTTTTTCCTCACTATTGCCGGACCAAGTTTCTTAGATTTATCATTCTTCTTTTTTAATGTTATTAGCTTCTTTCTTATAGTATAATATTTATTCAACAGGTCGAGATAGTCTTCTCTGGGCAAAGCAGTAAACACATAATGAAAATGTTCACCAATTTCAGACCGCATCTTTGTCGGTATATATTTTTGTCTAAAACTGGTTAATTTTTCTTTAAGAGTATGTAATTCTCTTAAATGGTTGCATCCATTGGCAAGGCCAGCTTGTCCAATAAGAATCATATTGAGCTTTTTAATTACATCATTAAGTTTGTCCCGATTATTGGACAACTGTTTTGGGCTTATTTGCTTCTGTTTAAGAAGTTGTTCGTGATGGTTTTGTAGATAAGTGAACTCTTTATAGATGTCTTTTGGATCACCTAAATCTTCGTTCAGCGAATCCAAAGCTTTGCTTATTTTTCTTATAAGATTGTATCTGTTGCGTGGTATATTGTCGCACAGGACGTTTTCGGGATCATTTTCGACATATTTTAAATTTATCTCATTGTTAGATTTTAACTTATCACTATTTTCTTGACTTTGGATCCATTCTCTAAGATTGGATTGAAAAGCTTCTTGATCAGCGACTTTCCCTAAAATACTTATAAATGTATTGGAATCTGTTTTTTGTACAGTTACATTATTAGTGTCTGTAAATTTCTTTAACTGTTCCTCTCCATCTTTTGTCTTAAGTTTTTCTATAACTTCATTGGTTACATATATCCTCGCAGTGGTGACAATGTCACTTGTGTCTGAAACTTCATTGTCTTGTATCATTTGTCCCTTTTTATCACGATTTGATGAAGAAATTGTAATGGAATCTGGTTGTTTTTCAACAGCATTCGTTTTAGGCGGTTCTACATCAGTTATTTTATCTTTAACCACTTTGGTTGCATCTTCACACTGATCTTTATTTTGCGGAGTTTTTCTTCCACTAGTGTTATTGCTCATAGGACTGTTTGTATTTCTATTTGTGTCAACCTCTTCACAATTTGACATGTGTCGTTTCTTATTCGTATGGCCTTCGTGACAAACCGGTGAATTTGACAGTCGTTTGTTCCTGTCATTTTTGTTTGACAGAGATTCAACCGGAGTTGGTGTGTCTTGTGTAAAATAACGGATAAGAGGTCGATTCCTTTGTTGTGTTTCGTTTTGTTTATCATTCCACACGGGACTATACAAGGATACATATGGAGAATTGATGGGTAGACCTGAAAAAGGTAACGACACTCTGCAGGTGTGTATGAGATGTCCTTTTCGGGCACAGCCACTGCAGTACAATTGATATCGACTCTTCATATGCCGATTCTCCTCTAATGGTGTATTACAAGTGATCTAAAATAAAAGATATTATTAATATTTCATTGACCTTAAAAGACATTTAAGATTACTAAAAGTAATACTCTACCGTGTTATGGTAACGTCGCCACAAGTCAGGGCAGTGGCTGGCCGGGTGGCCAATCTGTCCACACTCGGGGCACCTTACATTATTCCAGTTTGAGCAGTTCCGGCACATCGTAGTATACACGTGATTTGGAGATCCACACTGAAATTAAATAAACATTTTTCCTAACTGGATTTGTTTTTTTTTATATATAAACAGGCAAACGAGCAATCGGCTATCTGAATTCACCAAAACAGCGAAGTAACCGCTGTCCATAGACATCACGGAGACTGAGATGCATAGATAAGAGGATATTTTCCCTTCCGCAGTCCCTACCTACATCAAATCATTGAAACAACAATAATCTTTGCTAGAATAAAATAATAAATTTTCAGAATCCCTTACCATTCAACTACTCATTTATGTACTAGTAATGAAACTTACATTGACACAAATCTTCCTAGGACAGCGCGTCTCGTAGTGTCCGGTGTAGCCGCACATGTGACAGACAGGTGGCTTTAACCGGCATGTGTCGTCGCGGTGCCCAGTGCGGTTGCAGTAGTTACAACTGTAAAAATAAAATTTTGATTTTATTGAAAAATCCTTTTGACAGATGCCTCAATAGCTAAAACATTTAATGGTATCAATTGTTTCTATGATATTTACACTTACGTTGGTTTCCTTCTAGACAGTCCGGGCATTCTATCCTTGGGGTCTATAACCCACAAACTTTTGTCACCTAAAAAAAAATTGTATTGGTAACTAAAGGGTGAGAACACATTGTAACTTTAATTTATACAACACAATTCACAACTGTAATCCAGAGGTTTAAGCAGAGACCATGGATTCCATTAAGCATGACTCTACTATTTGTTTTCTTAAATTTACTATAGGACAATAAATCAAGGTAAAACTTACGGGACATGTTTTTCTGTATTTCTCGGTGATTAAAATTCTCCCCGCCCCAGCTTTCATTGTAAAATTTCTCCATTTCTGCTCGTAAAGTTGTCACGGAATATCGTCTTTTCTTACACACTCTCTCTTTACCTTTCAGATTATCGAAATCGAGATCTTCGTATAGAATCGCTGGTACTTTTGTCGAACCAAATTTCATTGCATCGTTTTGGATTTTATCCACATGTTCTACATCTGGTTTCTCCTGGAAACCGGTGACATTTGCCATGACAATGTTCTCGTCAATTATAGTTTCATCTAATGTATCTGTTAAGTCTATTGTTGATTGACATTGTTCTACAGTTTCATCATGTGGGATAACCTCCGCAGCCTGTTCTTCCGTATGATTCTCAGAACTAACATTGTCATCTGACGATGTACAGATATTTTCTTCTGCAGGTTTTTCATTTATTTTGACAGGACTCGTCTTCTCAGATATGTTTGAATCCGATTCGTAAACATCGGCATGGGAAAAACTTCTATCTATGAATGCATAAGTTGTGTTAGTTTTCTCAACTCCGTTACAAGATTGATTGCTGTCTGAATCATATACATCCGCATTTGGAATACTCTTCTCTGATACTGAATAGTTTTTAGTTTTCTGTCGTTTATTCTTTGCTTTACTTTTTGGTGTTGCAAAGTATTCACCTTCTTTAGCTACAGGTGTAGCAGGGGATGTTGTTATAGGTGTAGATGTTGTGGCATCCTTGTTTTTCTTCTTTTTTTTTCTCTTAGGGGGAGAGCTTTGGTCTATTATATCAGAGCCATGGAGACTAAAGTCGAAGCTTTGCTTGTTTGGATGTTTGGAGGATATGTTAAGAGCGATGCAATCGCTGCGGATAAACTCATCGGAAACTGATGACACAATGGATGGAACGGGACTCGCTGAAACATCTCTATCACTCCTATTTGTTTTTTTATCAGGTGTTACTTTATCGTTTTTCTCATTGACTTTAGTAGTGTTTGAAACTTCTGAAATTTCATCTTCATCTGAACTCTCAATAGTAATGGTTGGTTTTGGTGGTAATTTAACCTCAATAACTTCATCCTCATCACTTGATTGCAATTCCACAATATTCATAGGTCCATCGTTTTCTATTATTTCTATGCTTCTCTTTACGTATTGCGGTACGGGAGATTGAAATATTGATAAATCGGCAGCTAGCGGATTCACGTTACATTTTTCTCCCTTAGATTTTATATTTTCCGGTGTAAGTGGTTCATTTGTGGAAAGATTGTGTTGTTTTGCTCGGTTAACCTTTTGTAACGTGTGATCATCGTTCGTGTGCCAACACCGACGTATGTTAGTTTGGGGCCGCTTGACCACGAAGTTATCATCCTTAAGGTTAGTGGTCAAATTGGCCGTCTCATTGCCTTTATATCGCATAGAATAAAATCGTTCCTTTAGCTCATTCTCATTAAGATCCTGAAAGTGAAAACGATTGCAAAATCATCACGCATTGTTGTGTCATAACATAAATATGGTAACCTCAGTACTTACCTCCTCCATATTTCAGCGGTGAATTTGGATAAAACAAAATACCACACGAAATTAACATAATCGAAAATTGTAGTGGAACAATTACAAAATTGTTGAAAGCATTATTTAATAACTAAAACAGAATTTGTATTTATTATGGACACGTCTGACACTCCATAGCGAATCGAGTCTTTAAAACTAAAAAAAAATGTAACCATAGATTAAAAATAACACAAATGACATCTAGTTCACAGACTATATTCAGATTATTAAAGACGGAATAGTGTAAAACACAGAAATTTATGTTTTTAAAAGTATCACTTCACTCTTTACATACGGGAAATACAGTATTTCTTATAAGATTTAAAATGTATGGCCATTCATGATTAGCTTCATTAGCGCATCCCTATACAGACGTAGGTGCTTGGTGTGGGCTTGGGGGCGGCCTCCACTGAATTCTGCTGTTTAAAGTGATACTTTCCATGGTAATTTTAATCGGCCTTACTTTTCTTCGAAATTTAATTGTTTTTAATTGATTACATTGTTCTCATAGTATTTGATTTCGTGTACAATTGCCAGTTTTTTTTGATAATTAACTTCTGCTTGTTATATTACATTTTGTATAAGCTTGTACCTTATACATATCGTACGACACCAGGCGTATTGGGTAGGGAAATAAAAACATATTTTTCTTAATTTCATATTTAATGTATTTAGTAATACTATAATATAAAACTTACACATTATCTTAATCTATTTTATTACTTTTAAAAGCATCTTAAAACGGGTAAATTATCACATGTGATTGAGCAGTCTCATGATATAATTTTGAGCCACCTTCCTGCATATTCACTGAGTTTCTGAACCGCATTTCTGTAATAAAGTTAATATTAGTTGAACACTATGATACAGCACAGTTTACCATAATACTTTTTATTTTATTAATATAGTTCGCTCACTCATTACATCATCCCTACATGATATTACTATTCTGGCTCCTAAATATAATTCACATTTCTTAATAATAGACGAAACTTTTGAAATTCAAAACTTATATGACGGATTAAGTTAACCTGATAGAGAATGTTGTTATTGATTGTGTGCTGGCGCAAGGTAAGAGCGAGGCGACAATCCGCTCCGCGGTCACTTCAAAGTCCTCACATCGCTCCGTCCAGATTGGCTCACAGTGTCGACTGATGGTCAGAAAATGTTATTTACAAAAATTGAATAATTTTCAGTTAATAAAAACTATGTAATTACATTTAAAAACTAACGGAAATATGAATATTTATGAAGGATATTTAAAAAATAAGTGAACCTTCTTGCAACATATTGCAAGCTGGCCTTGAGTACTGCGTCGTAGGCGCTCGTCGCGTCGCAAAAGGCCCCGCTCGCTGCACCCGCGCAAGCCCATACCACGTAGCCGCCCGTGCGGACGAGCGGTGACAGGCTCTCTAATAACTGAACATGTGAAAAATAAAGAAGTGAACATCGTAAAACCAACAGAACTGTGCGAGTTAAAAATATTGATCTGATGCCTTCGTTTGATTAAGCTCGTAATAAATTAGATTTTTTAATATTTTAAGTGACATATCAAGAATCTCATAGCCTACCAAGATAGACAAATAGGGTGTGAAAATTCTCACCTTTACATTATAGTATACATCCTCTGTAACTGTTTGTGTAAGACCATCCAAGCCAGTTTGTTTCATTTCCGCTCCTATCACGACTAACGCGTCCGCTTTGCCAGACATTGCTTCGCTTGTCGCTGCGCTCATCACTGTGGTCACGGCACAGCCGCGCGCAGTCAGCCGCTTTGTTACTTCTTGTCCTAATGTGTTCGTGTTATTTGTTATCTGAAAAAATGTCTTGATTTATTAAGTTTTCTATACCCAAGAAGTACTAATACTTATGGGAGAAAAACTATTGGGCGCTAAAATCAGTTAAAAATGCAGTCTCACATATTTATTAAACTCTTTCCCTCAAAGCATGGTAAAAAATTGTGGTGTATAAATTTCGACTATAGTTCTAATGAAAACTTACTAGAACATTTTTAATCGGTATCCGCCTACGGGCAGCTACTTTTGTGAGAGCCGTGTATGCCAGCATTGCGGAGGTGACCAGTAGCAGCGAACCTCCCTCGAGGGTTGCCAGCAGCCGCCACGCCAGCTCCGCACCGCCCTCTACCACCTCCGTCATCTGAAAAACGCCTGTCAATTATCTATACTAATATTATAAGGGAAATATTTCTATTTTTTTTAAAGAAGCTTGCATAAGGCGATTACACCGAGTGGTATATTTGTACAGCACAAACTCAAAAAGTACTGGACTGATTTCAAACTTTCTTTTACTATTAAAAATCTACATTATTGCTAAATAACATAGGCTATAATTATTACTCATTTTTTTTGCCATCCAGACAAAGTCGCGAGTAAAAGCTGGTATAAGTATTCATATAACTCTGGTAAAAATGTTTTATATATATTCGTAAAATGGAAAGTTTTTAGACTAGACAGAGGTTTTGAAAGTTTAGTTTATTTCTTGCTACACCTTAATGTTTGGTAATCTAGATATTTTGTATATTTTTATGCAAATTATCGAAATAACATTGTGTATCTTTTATGTAACATAGAATTGGGATCTATTCTGTAATGTTGCATCTTCATCAATCTTACTGATATAATGAACTAGATGTTCCCGTGTGGCTTCATCCGCATGAAATTATGAAATTTTGATCGTTTACGTTTGTCAAATTATCAATAGCAAATGTCAAAATGACAAGACATGACTAACCTTGACAATCGTGCTTCCTAGATGTTGGCAGCAACTTATGGTCTCTTTCCCACATTAGGGTTTTTATCCAAAATATTTACAACCTAAGTTTAAGAGTGTGAAAATATATAGCCGTGTGAAGTGTAGGGCTTTTTATTAAAAATAGAATTATTTAAAAATGTGCTGTAATTGCTGACATCTTAGGCAACAAAGAAGTGTGTGTTTACGCTTTATTATAATAGTATAGATGAATAACAATATATAAATGTATTTCGCTTTCAAGACAACTTAAGACTTTACCTAGTTTATACATGAATCTAAATTCAAACAAATTCACACCCTAATGTGCAATGTTATTCTAAAAACATTATTTTGTTGTTATATTTGTAATATGATGATTATTGTGTCCGCCAAAGCTGCCAGTTTAATGTGATTTATGTACGTGGTGACACTGCAAACAGTCAAAAACTCATCGATCAAATCGAGTTGCAAAAGCATAGTTTTACTGTAGAATATGCCGGCGACGTCATACATACATCATCATCATCTTTCTCCTTATCCTACTCCCGCAAGGTCGGCGCAACAGGTTTTTGTCCTCCACATAACCTTAATTCTCTTTTATTTTGTAACGGTTCCATCTGTCACCTTATTGGTGGTAGCGGGACTAAAAGGTAGGGCGGATGAAACTTTTGATGGGGATAATCCCACTACTGATGTACCCTTCCACACTCATAGCTAACGTTCCCCTTGTAAGTCATTCTACCATACATTACATAAAATTATAGTGTATAAACAAGAAAGATTTGTATTTTTGTATGTATTGAAAAAACTCAAAAACCACTGCACCGATTTCAAAAATTCTTTCACCATTAAAAAGCTACGTTATCAGTGAGTATAATAGGCTATATTTTTTATTATTTTGAATTTAACGCGGACTAAGTCACAAGCAACAACTAGTACTTGATATTTTAACAGATTTATTTTATCAGTAAAAAATAGTGTCGCAAACATATTCATGTGTTAATCTTTTTGACCGCATACCTTGACCATAGCAGATAAACAATGCAGATAAAAAAAAAACTTGACAACTTCATCGTAACGGTCGAGTTGCAGGAGCAGTTTTATTACAGATTATGAAAAAAGCTGTACACTTAAACACGTAATATATCAAATTACACGATCTTTAAAGTTGCATTACTAAAACTGTAGAAAATCTTTTTATATTAATCCACTAATTTTAAAATGTAAATATTTGCAACAACTAGTTTAGAAGAGATGAAGATTCTTGCATTTTAATTAACTACGGTCTTAAATTTATGTGTTGCAGACTGCAGCTGCATATTGCATAAAAATTGGGCAACGTTTCTTTGGCTAGAAACCAGCACAGATATTATGTACTCTACATATAACCTATCATGTCTGTATTTATTTGTTTCGAGGGAAGTCTAATTGTTTCTTTAATTTAATTCCAATTTAAAATTTGCTATGGTATGGGCAAACGTTGATACAATTTTCAAACTACTAAATAATTTAAAAGATTGTATTATATCTTTTAGACACCTCATTAAATTGATACTGTCGCTTTAAACTCAGAGCAACACTTCTCGTCCAGACCCAGGTTGCGCGCCAATCTATCCATACTTCTAGTGACATTGACAGCTGTCAGCTAGGGATGTGACGTTTATGCCGATAATCTAGAGTTGCGCCAATTCTATAGCACGGTACTAATTTTGTTCCTAACATATCATATTAGCTTTTGCACGCGAGCGACGCCGTCCGCGTGGAGTAAAAAAAGAAGGGTGTAAATAGCATATGTGTTATTCGAGACTATGTTGTACATCTATGCCAAATTTCATCGAAATTCATTCAACCGTTTAGGCTACAAACTATAACAAACAAACATCCATCCATCTATCCAAACTTTCGCATTTATAATATCAGTAAAAAGTAAGATAATTGTCAAACTATATTCAGAAATAGTTACTAGTGACATAATTGTTCAAAAAACTAAATCGTGACAAAAAACTCCGATACCGGGAATCGAACCCGAGCCTCCTGGGTGAAAGCCAGGTATCCTAGCCACTAGACCATATCGGATATGATATTTAAATTACAATAACTACATTGTAATCATATTAATAAATGTGAATGTTTGGATGAATGAATGTTTGTTATTACATTCTACCAAAACGGCTCTACCGATTTTTATTACCGAAATTCTACACAGATGTAGATAATAGTCTAAAAGAACGCATAGACTCTTGATTTTTTTAATTCCGCGCGGACAAAATCGCGAGCAAAAGATAGTCATGATATAAAACACGGATAATACCATACTAGTAGTTATAAAGAGATAAAGTTATCGCGTAATAAAGTTTTTTCCAAACATTTATCTTTATTGGTTTGGTTCAGCAATACATCACGCAATCAAAGTAAAAAATTGTTGAATAGACCTAAACATTACCAATAGCTTCTATTGTGTTCTTACAGGCATTTAACAATGGCGCACCTTTAAACACGCAAAAAAGGAATAATTGTCTTTGATAAGTACACCATAGTCTAGCGCAGGGGTGGCGAACCAATAGCTCGGATACGACATTTTGTTACGGATCACAAAAATTACTATGCACTAGGAAAAAAGTATGAAAACGGTATTCATGAGGACTGTATGTTAAGTGATAACTGTGGTACGGAACATATCTAATAATCGCAATGACAAAATTATTTGATGGCACAACTAAGACCGGCACACATTTCTTTAGAACGGCACGTTTGCGTAAACTTCGTCACCCCTGGCATAGCAGATAGATTGCTTGGATTTTGGCTCAAGTTGTCAATTCTAAAATTATATTGTAGTTACTATGTTTAGTAAGAATTAAAACCTTTCAAATACTCTTAAAGTGAACATAACAGCGTAATTCGGCGTAAAAAATTCTAGTAAAACCATTTTCTTTGTTACAACGTACTCGTATATTGTTGGTTTGAATTAAAGCCCTTAGAACCTCTCTTAAATATACCAAGGAGGAGTACCAAATGTGCACATTTAAAGAATTGCTTAGTCTTGTTGGTTTTATATTATAATGAATTAAGTGTGTCGAAATGTTATGACTGCAGCCTTATTTAACAATAAATTGAAATAGATTTCAACAAGCGTGATCGTTGCAGTACGCAACAGAAGGTAAACAAGACCTTAGAATGTCGCAAGACTTTTGTATTATTCTTCTACTCTCTTCAAACGAATTATTGAAGTGTATATTCCTATTAATTATTACCTTGAAAGTTTAATAATCGTAATGCTGTCAATATATCAGGTTAAATTATTAATAATATTTCTAAACGAATAAATTAAAATAACGTTTCATTTATTCATGTAAAGGTCATAGTTTTAAACCTTGGATCGCTGTATTAATAACGTAAAAAATGAAACAAATATGACCTGCCACGAATTAACTTTAGTTAATTATAATTGTACTTAAAGTAAACAAAAAAGGCAATGCATCGTCATCATCTCCCCTACCTTATCCTACTCTCGTAGGGTCGGCGCACCGGGTTTTCGACCTCCAAAGCACTCTATCATCCGTCATCTCAGTCATCACCACCCTTCTTGATCATGTCACCTTTCACGCAATCCATCCATCTCTTTCTAAGTCTACCTCTACCGGTGTACCCCTCCACATTCATAAATAACGTCCGTCTTGTTACATGCGATTAATCCCTTCTCATAACATGTCCATACTCTAACCTTTTACTCCTTATTTTCTCAAGCACTGAGGCTACTATCAAACATCCACTCATATACTCATTTCGTATCTAATAAAATGTATGACATCCCAAGCTCTATATCAGTTTTTTCTTTTTAGTTTTACTACTTGAGTGACGATATTTTCTGAATATATAAATGACCTTTCCTCTCCTTGACTTTCTAATGTCTACAAACGAATATTCTAAGAAAAGATAAATCAATTCTAGGTTTCAGAAGATAAGCACAAACTGGTATTTGCATGATCTAACTATATGTTTACTTTTGTTTCAAGCGTGAAATAATATTTACCACAAAATATTTGAAGAATAAATCAATGATTTATATTGATTATTTTTAATGACTTAAAATTGTTATCAGTTAATTGCTAACATAAATACAATCCGATATGGTCTAGTGGCTAGGATACCTGGCTCTCACCCAGGAGGCTCGGGTTCGATTCCCGGTATCGGAAGACTTTTTTAACATTTTCCTAATTTACTATAAATATTTTTTAAATGTAATAGCAATATTTTTGTTACATAATACGAATGGACTTTAATGAGACCCACCCTTTAAGGTTTTATCAGAAATCTGGTCAGCTTTCTAAACCAGTATAACAGCCAATACTTGTACTAGGAAATAAGTTTACTTCCTAGAATGCACTATTTATATTGTTACAACATTGGCGTGGTCTAG